ATATTTGAAATGATTCCAACACATGTCATCCAATCATCTTATGAACTAAAAACTCATTATCTTTAGATAAAACTGCTATTAACACACCATTTTTGGTCAATTCGACTTTGATATTTACCCAAATATCAAAGTCGAATTGACCAAAAATGGTGTGTAAATTGGAAAACAATCCATTTATATTTTGTTAGTACCAATGCTTTTATATATGATATTGATTTGCAGAAAATATGTGACTACACTTCCTATATGGGATGCACCTTTAAAGAAATTGTAAAGAGGTTTTCTAAAAACTAAGGTGTATCAGGAACACTGATAGCTGCAAGCCCACTAATTGATGATGTCATTTACCCCGACATCAAACGCTTAGTTTTTGTGGAATTGCTGGAACCACAGACATCTGATTGAAAATTGGAATGTTGTAAATAGACGCTATCAGTGTCCCCGATACACATAAAATTTTTTAGAAAACCTCCTCGCAATTTCTTTAATATGATTTTTAAAAGTTTGTAGGATGACCCCATTTCCCATTATTAAACAAAAAAATGAGAACGGTGTTATCATCGTGATAAACATCATTATTCCTGTTAATACTGTTATATATCTTCATTATGATTCATTATTATCTTTATCCCTTTCATTATATCTTGATTTAATCAAATATAGATAACAAAGGGTTTTTATCTCGTTAATTAATACTAATATCAAAGTAGCGTTATCTGAAAATTCAGGTGGAAAAATCTATCATCAAGTCTTCTTATATATTAGACTCGGTCGTTCGGAAATCATAAACAGTAAATAACATTGTCTATTTTATACAAGAAAAATATTTTATAAAAGACCTTGGAGTTGATCTCTCCCGGATTTTTTCGTACCCATTTTCAGCCGTTTCGACTAATTCAAGATCACCAACCGAGATAAGAACCGACGACCACCATTTGTTGGGCGTAACCAAGCAAATAACGTCATGTAAAGAACCAACAATGCTCTAACCAACTGTGTTACAGAGCCCCAAAAATCCCAGAAGTTTAAGAACTGCCAACAATCTTAAATGCTATAAAATCCAATATTCAACATTTTCTTTTTCTAGTGGGTTTCTCATATATTTCTGGTACCAAAATCACATTAATGCAGGAGACTCTCTTTTATGAACAACCATACTTTAGTCTAAGTCTTTAGCTGAACTTATCAGTAATAGTGCACACAGCTCGCCGTTAAAATTTAAAATTCATGTGTGTCCAGAATTATCTGCGTTTGAATGTTAAAACGACGACTCGTCAACTTAAGATACTAAGTGATATATAGAAAAGACATATATAGAAATAGTGAGTAAAATTCCTAGTTTGAAATATTTTTAAAGGAATTATGTGATTTTCGTATATTTCTAGTACCTCTAGTCCCAATATGACTTGCCTGTCCTTTTAAATGATTATAAGAAATAGTTTGTTTCGCTAGTATTCTATCTTTAAATACTATCCACATGTGGCATTTCGTTTGAAAAACTGTCTCGTTTAAAGTAAATATATTTTCCTCTTGAAATAGAAAAGCGAGGAACAAAAGTAATTGTTTCGTCAAAATACAAGTTGTAATTGAATTTCTACAAGATTTATAGATATTTGAAATCTTGTAATCTCGTCTCCACTGACATTCATCGATAACTCTACTATTGGAATAGATCGTATCTAAAAATATTTCCCGGTTCCTAACACAAGAGTTTTCAACTTTTTAATTTCTATTACCCCTTTCAAGATCCTTATATACTACCCCTAAAGAGACTACTATTTCGATATTTTCTTTTTCATGTCAGAGAATAAGCCTAACTGAAAAGAACAACTAAAATTTGTATGCCAAATTACATAGCGCCTCACTACCCGTGTCCTAACATATTCTAGCATACAGTATCAATTAAGTGACCAAATCCATTATTGGTTGCATAGTGTTTTCAATATTCACTCTACACTCAATGCCCCTGTCAGTGATGTAGGTAAGAGGAGCTGACATGGAAAACGAGAAGGCTAATGTCGCTGTCCTTGCAAAATTTCCCTTATCGTACCCTGCATGACGTTGCCCGTCTTCATTAGCCCAAAAAAGAAAAAGAGGACGTAAAACTCAATTCATTTCTCCACTCGATGCTAGATCTAAACAGTTTTGAAATCCCCCCCACCCCTCGTTGGAGACCACCAACTGTGTATGGACTTACCTGAACTCTGCATGTATAGCGTCAAGTATATATCATCCTTTTAATTGTGTTATTTTTAACCTTGCCTAAAGGCACAGTATACAACATTATTTAGTTCGTTATACTAATACTGTTATTAGTTGTAAATCGTGCCAGGTCCTCTGTTTATGGTGTTCGTTATTTAATAATATCAGACTAAAGTTATCATCATGCTTGCGGCAAGTTAACTTATTGACATGTAATAAGCATCTCAGTCATTAAAGGTATACGATTACAAAATTATACACAAAGCTCAATGACCCAGCTTATAAACAGCATCAACCAAAAACAAAACAATTTTTCCAATATTAGAGATATCAAAGCAGCTTTTATCAACAAAATAAACAATAAGTCAACATTGAATTTTTACCTGGTGTTTTCCAGAGAATGTTTGTGATATTTTTGCAGTGAATGTTACCTGATGTTTTCAAGAGAATGTTGGTGATATTTTTGCAGTGAATGTTACCTGGTGTTTTCCAGAGAATGTTGGTGATATGTTTGCAGTGAATGTTACCTGATGTTTTCCAGAGAATGTTTGAGATATTTTTCCAGTGAATGTTACCTGGTGTTTTCCAGAGAATGTTGGTGATATTTTTGCAGTGAATGTTACCTGGTGTTTTCAAGAGAATGTTTGTGACATTTTTGCAGTGAATATTACCTGGTGTTTTCCAGAGAATGTTTGTGATATTTTTGCAGTGAATGTTACCTGGTGTTTTCCAGAGAATGTTTGTGATATTTTTGCAGTGAATGTTACCTGGTGTTTTCCAGAGAATGTTGGTGATATTTTTGCAGTGAATGTTACCTGGTGTTTTCCAGAGAATGTTTGTGATATTATTGCAGTGAATGAATGTTACCTGGTGTTTTCCAGAGAATGTTTGTGATATTTTTGCAGTGAATGTTACCTGGTGTTTTTCAGAGAATGTTGGTGACATTTTTTGCAGTGAATGTTACGTGGTCTTTTCCAGAGAATGTTGGTGATCTGTCTCTTTAATATGAATAAACACGACATGTTTAGGAAATGATGATGTGGCCTTTGCATAGCATACTTTGAAGCGAATGTTAATTCAAATTTGCAGTAAATATAAATGTCAAACGTATTAGAATAATTTCATCAAAAGATTATGTAACGTAATATCAGGGGAAAGGAAAGCAAAAGGAAGAAAGTCTTCACGGTCTTAACACTGGTAACCTTTGATGGACATGTCTCATAGAGCTCTTCCAGTTCTAATTGGTAAATAGCCTGAAGTGGTATAGCAGGTACTCAGCATGACAAGTATGACGCTATGTATTGATTCCCTCTTAGTTTAGTACATTATTGGCTTCATTAAAATATAAGCCATTATTTATTCTTGATTAAATAATATACGCTTGACGTGTCGGGAAGGTATTGATCTGCCTAACTTTCTTAACAATGCTTCTAGACGTCTCAAGAGCGATGCATTTAATATTGTCGATAGTGAGATGCGCTTACACTGTCGGATACATAAGAAGTCTGTGGGTCTCATCTTGTCATTGATTTTTGCCAGCTTCTGGACTTAAAAGATCGCCTTCAGACGACTTCTTTGAGCCCGGTAATTTTAGTCGTCCTAACGCGACCGGTTTAACTAACTTGCATCTACTTTGGATGTTGCTTAAAACCTGGCTTGAAAAGTTAAATCAGCTTAGTTCGGTCGTCTGAACGCAACTGGCTAACATTAAGCCGTGTATTTCATTTCTGCGCCTGCGCATTCTTCTAGACAGAATTCCCGCTTTTATTATTGTTGTCATAATGCCCATGCGCATTGATATTGAGACCTCTGCACTTCCCTATAACTTCCAAGGTAAACGGCATAGAGGAAACATGCAATTACCTACGATGCTTCGATGTCTCAAGCTGATAAAGACTTTAAAGAAAGAACATAATTATTTCAATAAGGTAGTCTTGTATATGCTATTTTTCGATGCATCCAGAAACTTGGAAAATTACACTTCCCTTCTCTGTATATAACCTTGAACTTGAATATCTCGCTAGTTTGTAATACCGCCAGAGAAATCAAATAAGGCTAACCAAATTGCGACTGATTACATTACTGTCATGTTAGGTGAATAACGAGATTGGATTGAATTAATCTCGGCTCTTTTATTAGTTTATACATGAGGGACATAACTTTTCTTGTTCCTATTTCTTTCTTTTGATGTCTTTTTATACCACCTATAGGACTTGCTCTTTGTGAGATACCAGCAATATATTATTTTCTCTGAAGCTATTTATGGTTTTGTCATTGCTTGCCTCCTTTACGAAAATATCCAATTCAGAGGTATTAAATATACACATCGTATATTCTAAGACTTTTGAGGGGGCTGTGGTTCAAATGATGAAGGTTACATTCTCATGACGCCAGATTAAGAAGACTTATTTTTGAGATACTATGTGTCCGTTTGATAAATTATTCATCGTATAATCTTGTAATCGTATGACGTCACGTACTTGGCTTAGTGGGAAAGTTGTGGTCGGGAATATTCAGACGTCAAGTGAATATATTGTGACAGTGTCTACTTATTCCAGTCGATCCAGATATTAATCGATAAAGAAGATTTTATTTTTTAATTTCTGTGAATAGATGATCGACATTTAACATGCTGTTCCGGTGAAATATAAACGAGTGGTATATTATTTTATAGCAATTTCCGGTATGCAAGACGAGATGATGTTGCAGTACACTAGAAGTAATTCGGCAAAATGCGTGGCAATTAAGTGCTGGCAGGCATTTTTTGATAGCTCTTATTGGTTTCTCAAGCAATTAAAATGACAGGTTCGCAATTTTTGGCGGTTGATTTGGGTCTTGAAAAGGCTACACGTAAAAAGTCTTTAGAAGTACTAGAAATGTATAAAAATCACATAATTTCTTCCAAAATATCTCAAACTAGGTAATTCTATTACTTTTTCTGTTTCTTTTTCTATAAATGACACATTCACAATAAAAGACGACTCGTCATTATAACTTTCAAACGCGGACACACATGACTTCGAAGACTCAAATTTAGACGGTGAGCAGTGAACACTATTACTGATCAGCTTAACTCCCTGGTTCCCAAACCTGTGATGTTTTCACTCCCTGAGGGTGTAGGACAAGGATGTCTGGGTTGTGACCTATTGGTGTAAGAGAAGAATTTATTAGGAGCACTTCACATAATCACATGCTGAAAATGTGGATGAAACAAATTTTTGGAGTGTGAAAGGTCCACGTGATTGCCCCAGGGGTGTGAATGCTGAAATAGGTTGGGGACCACTAGCTTAACTAAACAATTCCTGTTTCTGAGGTACGATTGTCAAACGAATGACGAATCTGTTCGTTTCAATATTGTTTACATCGACAACTAACTTTTCGCTTACACATCTCAGATAGTAGTTTGGTAAACATATTTGGCCAACTTGCTCCCACAAACATCATTAATCTGTAGACAGCTTTGAAGTTTCGAAATGTTCGAGGCCTCGAGGTCATTTTAGTAATGTTATCAACGCTAGACTAAACCTTTCATTCAGATTAAAAAGCGTCATCATGGACCAGGATTGAGTGGTAATACAGAATTACAGAAATGGATTGTCTGAGTAATAGAACAATCATTTAATGGTCTCTTTTGGTCCGTCTCTTTTATTTTCTTGCTTTACTGATTGTGCGTCTATTAAACGGTAATTTTTATATTTGAATATCAAAAGTTGAAGAAATTGGTTCGATTTGTCACGTCATTGTGTCTGTTATGTCACTTTTTATTAGAACTTTGTAGACAGTAACATTGTAATATACTTTTCACATCTGCTTTCAAATTCAACCCACGCCATCTTAACAAATAAGAAGAATCAATCTGCTGGGAGCACAACTGCGGTTACATAGAGGAAATAACAAAATCTACAGCTCAAGCAAAAAGGTTATTTCCATAGAGCTGTAATATTAGGACAAATAGAAGATACAAGTGTACCCAATGCCTATTTTTCAACCCCTTTAGGCTTATTGTGCGGATTAAAAGGGTCAAGATCTCATTTCTAAAATACAATTCAGGGTCAGCCGATATGGTATCTGAACATATTTTTTCTGTAATTATGGTAAACAACAAACGCAGCATATAACTTTGGCAAAAAAACAGAGGTTTTCCTGATAAATTGTATTAAACAAAAATATCACCCAGGGATATTAAACTGACAAATTCAGTTGTTAGGAAGAGGTTAGTGTACAATGTCCCAACGTTTTCGTCAATGAATGTGTGTTTAACTAGTTCTTGACGAGTATGATTTCAGAACAGATCTTTCCATTGTAGATTTCTTTGTCAACAACATGTCAAGTTTACATCTTATATTTTTCAGATATGGTGACAAGAATGGACGAAGCAGTGGACAATGGGGCAGATCGTTAAATGATAGTTCAGCTAGTCCTTTACGTGGGCATAGGTCATCTCAGCAGCAAACTGATCCAGCTCTCCAAAGTCGACAACAGGTAATTTATTTCCAAGTAATTTCTTACAAAAATTCATCGTAGAGCGAGAGTCTCTTTATTATTCATTGGCATAACTGCAAGGTTATTTCAGGAACCACTGGCATCCAAATTACATTATGATCCTTCACTGCATTGTTTTGTCTCCTTACAAAGTGTGTGTTTTTTCACTATATATTATTTTCACAATGTCAAACTAAAACGAAGTGGGTCTCATACCTTGACTACAATAACCACTATTTGATTTGATTTGCACGTAAGCGAATACAGTCAATCAGAGTTTACGACAAAAACAAAAAGTCATAATGTTGACAAGCTTTCTGTCGAGGGCTCTGTTTGGTTGTATTCTCTAGCGCACCATCCAATTAAATCGCAAAAGTGGCCATTGCAGTCAAGGAATAAGTACGAAATTCGTAATAGCTTGACATTGTGAAGATGATAATATATATGCCCGAATTCACTGCACATCGTGAATCGTCTAACTATAGATTAGAAATGTTTATATTTCGGGCAAAAATCATTGTATTTGAAGGAATAATAGATGACATCTATAGTGAATTCTCACACATTCTGAGGGATAAGGGAATTTGGACTTAAAAGATTTTAATTTTTTTTTTGACAAAACGCCAGTCATTTCGTGGATTCTTTCAAAGTTGCAAGTGTGACAGCTGAATGAATCGCAAGGCACGATTCAATGATTCATCATAAATCCCACTGAAAAGTTGATTGACAAAGAGTAAATTGAATACTCCAGATGTGATTTATGTTCATAATAATACTAATGAAAACTAATATAGAAATATGGAATGATGTATGAGTTTGACGTGTTATATTTGTCTCTTATTATTTCTTACCATTTTCGGCCAAAAATCATTCAACAACCTAGTTTTGAAATCTCGATATTCTGAACGTAAAGAAATATATAGGTTAAGGTTTATTTCAGCCTCTAACAGCTATTTTGAAAGTCAAGCTGTCAAATTATTTAACAGAGGCTGGAATAGAGGCAAATGTTTCGGACTAGTTAAAAAGAAGTTTTCTCGATGGTTAAAGTATTATAGAAAATGTTCCAAAACAATACTGGCTTTTTGGACTCCTTGAAAAGGTTCATAAAGATATATTATGGAATTGTTGGAATTCATATTATATTTTAAAAAAATAAAGAAAATTACTGTATTCCTGATCAGTTGGGGATCTAAATTAATTATACATGTTATTATATAAATATTTCAGGTTATAAAAATGTTGGTTATAATTACTGTATTCCTGATCAGATGGGGATCTAAATTAATTATACATGTTATTATATAAATATTCCAGGTTATAAAAATGTTGGTGGTTATAATTACTGTATTCCTGATCAGTTGGGGATATAAATTAATCATAGATGTTATAATATAAATAATTCAGGTTATGAAAATCTTGGTGGTTGTAATTACTGTATTCCTGATCAGTTGGGGATATAAATTAATTATACATGTTATTATATAAATATTTCAGGTTATAAAAATGTTGGTGGTTATAATTACTGTATTCCTGAAGAGTTGGAGACCTAAATTAATTATACATGTTATTATATAAATATTCCAGGTTATAAAAATGTTGGTGGTTATAATTACTGTATTCCTGATCAGTTTGGGACCTATACTAATTATACATGTTATAAACAATATTTCAGGTTATAAAAATGTTGGTGGTTATAATTACTGTATTCCTGGTCAGTTTGGGACCTAAATTAATTATACATGTTACTATATAAATATTTCAGGTTATACAAATGTTGGTGGTTATAATTACCGTATTCCTGATCAGTTGGGGACCTATATTAATTATACATGTTATTATATAAATATTTCAGTTTATAAAAATGTTGGTGGTTATAATTACTTTATTCCTGATCAGTTTGGGACCTATATTAATTGTACATGTTATTATATAAATATTTCAGGTTATAAAAATGTTGGTGGTTATTATTACTGTATTCCTGATAAGTTTGGGACCTATATTAATTATACATGTTATAAAAAATATTTCAGGTTATAAAAATGTTGGTGGTTATAATTACTGTTTTCCTGATCAGTTGGGGACCGAAGTTAGTATTTCACGTGTTAAAGAAGTACCGAGTTTTAAGCTTTAATTCCGCAGTGTTTTTGGCAATAGTGAGTATAACGATTTATCTTTTTGGTTATTTTTCCTTTGTGAGAAATGAATTCCTCCTTGAATTATCCCCGAACAATGGATTCTTAAAATACAAGGCCTTGAGGACAGACGTTTCATCGTTATAATTAGATAACTTCCATGCAACATGAATGGTTTGAAAAGTGTTTACTAAATAGCTGTATTCGTTTTATGTTTGAAATATTAAAAGCCCGAAAGGAAAAAGGAGTATCTAATTCTTTTAAAACGACGTCGAAAGACAAATTTTTTATTGAGAAACTAGGAACTCGAATAGCGGTGGAATGGAATGACTTGAGTAGCAATTAGTATGGCAGCCACATAAAATCTACAAAAATATCAGAAGTAATTATTTGGCGCTTGTTACCATTTTGAGTTTACAATCTGTTTAACGAACTAGAAAATTTACTTAAAGGGAATGATACGCTAAGTTAATCAATGATTTGGTCGAATGTGAGCCTTCAAATCCATATGTGTCTGAAATTTTTCGCTGTTTTGTTTGACTGTTAAAAAGACGGGTGGTCTTTTTTGAGACACTGCCATTTTGAGAAAGAGGAAAAGAAATTCATAGTTTGAGATGTTTTTGAAAGCATTATGCGATTTTCGTACATTTCTTGTAATTCTGAAGACTATTTACATAATATATTCAAGACTCAAATTAATCCCCCTAAAATGGCGCTTATGTCCCTCTATCTACAAAGGTAGCGTATACACCACAAATAATATATCTTATAGTTATCATCAATAGTGGCTTTAATAGCAGCAACGATAGTAGTCTGGATACTAAAATAATATTTACTTGAAACTTCCTGGTGAGCAGATAAAAACTGTGTCAATATATTGACTCTGAGAACACACGTGGCAATAGACCAAACATCATTATTTCCCGAACCGAAAATGATCTTACAAATTATACAATAGCTGCGATGGTTTAAAAATCGAGATTTTGTATTCATAGTCACATTTCAATACTCGAATGAATTTCAGTTAGTGACGGTTTTGACAGGATTTTAATTCCGCTAGTTTTAATTTGATCATGGTAAAGATTTAATGTCAATCTGACGGCACATTCGTCGCTTTCATTCTGACAAACGATTTAATTGAATTGTTCTATATTCTTTTGAAATGCCTTTTTGTCTATGCTGATCTCGATTTTGTTTAGCTTATCTTACATCAATTAATTTGAATTGTTGATCATCTGAAGCAGGAATAAAAAGAAAAAAATATTTGGCATGGTTTGCATTTTCTACAAGCTGTCCGTTGCAAAGCATTATTACGATCATAAAATACATTATACTGCAAATGCATGAGATACGACATAAACATGTACATATTTTGTATATTGTATTTTGTATATCTGTATGTATAGAAAACGGTACTATGTATATTTGTATTTTGTATAATATTGATGCCCAAATCTGATTTTGTATTTTGTGTGTTTAATCAGGTAATATTTTGTATATCAATATTCAAACCATATACTAGTTTGTATATCAATGTTTAATCAGGTAATATTTTGTATATTTATTTGCAAATCGTAGTATTATTACATTTTGTATATTGTATTTCTGTATATTTCAGGTGGTGTTTAATTTATTACCCTATGTTCAATCCAGTTTAAATCCTGTTATCTATATTATAATGTCTAAGAATATCAGGAGATCTATTTGTAAACATTTACCAATTCCATTGATTAAACTGTGTTCGAGGTGCGGCGATCAGAACTATAACACAATGGTGTCAATGAATTCCACCATCCCAGCTCACCATGCTATAAGATCTAACATGGATCATCAGAGATCAGTTCAGCAATCACAAGCAGCAAACCTTTAAATCAAGCAACCATCAGCTTGTATAAGATCATGCCTTTAATTGTTAATGGTTCGAAATATTTATTCTGTGTTTAATGATTCTGTGTTACCATGGTTTTATGCATATAAACTTTCTGTTCATGGGAACGCTGACTTGAAAGATAGATCGTATTCTACAGGTTTAAAAGGATCCCAAATGATCAACGTGAATGCTTTATCAGTGCTCTTGCGGACGCAGTATATTGGTTGCTTGTGTTGAATTTAATCTTTGAGGTCCTTAAAATCTCAAACAATACCTGATCGTACATACGTGCAGCGTTTACCACAGTGTTTGTGACATCTTCGTTCTTATATCTTGACCGCAATAGCCACCTTCCTTGTATCATGGAAGTTTGTTAATGCAGCTATTTGATTGGATTGTACGATAATGAATACAGACAATATGAGGCTTCGAAAGACGTGAATATACAGCCATTATGTTTACAGCCTTTCTGTCGATTGTTCCGGTTGGCTGTATTCGCTAGCGTACAAGCCAACCAATTTGGTGCATTCTGTGATACAAGAATATTGGCTATTGCAGTTAAGGTATATGTATGAAATTCGTAACAGCTTGACAATGTGGAGATGTGTTTGTGAGGAATCTAGTTAATCATGTTAAATACAGAATCCTCTCAGTGATCAAAAATTGAAAGGTTTCCCTAGTTTTATGTAAAGGGTATAGACAGGCGATTCGTTTTGATTTCATCATCCTAGACCAACGAGCTGGGAACTGTGAGAGCCATATCGAAACCTTTAGTCCAATCTCTGGGACAATATAATAGATATATATAGTATAGTTTTTATTGTTTTTCTTAGGCTTTGTGTTTTGTTATTCTTTTCAATATTGTGACTTAAAATTTAACCCCTCCCACACAATATATTATATCAAAGAAAATGATGAATAAGGCGTAGACACTAGTCATTTTTATTTATTTTTTGTCAAGTAGAGAGTAGATTTCCATAAAAAAATATTTGTGGTCATTGATAACGTTTTGGATAATGAACAAGTTTGATGACTGCCAGTAGCGTATTTAAGGGGGGGACCATTGGGCCATGACCTCCCTCTCAGGTCTGTGAAAGTCCTTATATATTTAGTTAAAATCAAGCCCTCTAACTGCTCAAAATTTATCTCAGGCCATCAGAAATCCGTTGGCTTCTAGAGGCCAGCAGCTCCCAGACCCCTCCCCTCTCTTTCAAGGGGCTTCGGACCTTAGGGCCTCGTCTCAGAGAGACACCTCTCATTTTTTGCCCCTCAGTCTTTTTCTAGATACGCTCCTGACTTTCAAAACTATCCTGTATGAAATCGTTAAATGCTTAATTTTTTTCTGCTTTTTATTTCCATTATTTAATATTAGACATTTTTTGTATTTAATTGATTTAAATTAAAGGGTGGGATTTCTATAATCTCGTTATAAAACATAGATTTTTTTCACTTACACGATTGATTGTGTTTCGGAGAGAGATTTTAAGAATGTAAATGTCTGGAATAAGACGAAGAACAAAGATCTGTTAGTAATTAACATTTATAGTCTTCTATTGACATTTTCAATATCGATATCTCTGAAATGCTATTTATCGTTTTCAGATATTGAGACTCTAATTCTTTTGCATTAGGAAATCCTTGGCAGCTTCCGTAAAGCTGAAACTGATTAGTGTTGTAGAGCAAACAGTACCCTTGAAAGTTACGTTAGCGCTCTGCAACATATTACGGTAATGAATGCCAGGCATTATTTGCCGGAAGTAAGTCAATATTGTCACGTGACCACATCACGTGAACCTGGTCAGAGGCTGGTCGTTAAACAAAGTCAATGAAAACAAAACATTCGTAAGATATGTACTTAAACTGATAATGAAATATATCATTTGATAACCACTAGTTAGCCTTAAATGCATAAGTATGTGTGAGCAATATCTACCGAACTCTTTTAATTTAAGGACTATATTTATGTCGCAATATTAATATCACTGCTAAATAATGGAGGTAAATAGTCTCGCCGAGAAGACACAAAGGAATTCACCATTTTCAGCTTTACGGCAACTGGCGAGGATTGCCGAATGGTTGTAGAACGATTAGCGCAACTTTCACGGTAGACCGTTTGATTGTTTAGTTGAAAACTGTGCACATTGTAGTTACGTTAAATGGGAGTTCTTGGGTTTCATATTTTGCCTCATATTTTATCTATGTTTGTTATATAGGGTATAAAAAGAGATTTTGTGAGCGTTTGTATCGGACGCACTTCGTTTTGCAACCATGTGTGTTCTTACCTGGGTATATGTATAATTAGATAACCTTAAAATCTGGGTTAACATACGTTAGCCTGATATCAAATGCCATTTTGAAAAATGTTACAAGTTACTCTTTTAATCTTGGACAGTTTATTCGTTTTATAATTTGTTTTTGACTATAATACGTGAACATTTTTTTATGTATAATAAAATCATGTTAGAATCTTACTCTATGGATCTGGTATTCGCGTAGACTGAAAGATCTGCATCTATTCCAGCCTCTTATAGGCTAGCCCCCCTGTAGCTATGGTCCTGAGATTAATTGTTCAAAGTTGAAAACACATTAATATGAGTGGCATATAAGTTTTCTGTAGGAAACACACAGAAAAGAACACAAGCCCCCTTACCAGCGGTTACATCAACGTCGATACGCACCATGAAAACTCCACTCGGTAAGACAAAATACGTTTATCTCTTGTAGAATACAGCATAATGATAGACTTGATTACCTTGTTCAGCAACGGATCCTTGGAAAGTCATTGTCACAGGATTGATTTCTCTTCAAGTAGCCATTGTAGTAGCTATTATTGATATCGTTGATTTACCGAGACATATATAATTTTGTTAACTACTTGTATTCTCTATTGTTTATGATCCAAAAATCATTAAATTGGCCTTGCCTACCTAACGACGTAATAAGTTATTTCTAAACAAGGTAGCGATCAAAAGTTTTAATATAACCTACATCCTCTGAAAGGACTGCAATATCCGGCGTATTAAGGTCAACTCTAAGATCTATATTGATTAATGTGAAAAATTATTGGAAAAATATTTAATGCTTCATTTACTGCCTCTCTATATTACTTCAGATAAAATCCCGCTCTAATCATCGTGATGTTCTAATATTATGGCCAATTTCATAGGCAAGAATTCTAAACTCCAACGTCCCAATCCTGCTGATTTTGATCTCTGTTAAGCTAAATTATGACATTGACGTTGAGCGTTCCACTGAATAAATGTTGTTTTTTCAGTCCAACGAATTAATATACGTAATTACTATAGTCATATTACTGCGACCAATTACTATGACCATAATATTGTGAAAAATTTCTATGATCGTATTACAGTGACAAATAAACATGGCCATATTACAGTGACCTATTAACGTGGCCATATTCTTCTAAGTACTAACCGTGACCATATTCTGTGACCAATTACCATGACCATATTGCTGTGACCAATTAACACGACCATATTACTGTGACCAATTACTATTACAATATTTCTGTGACCAATTACAATATTACTATGACCAATTATCATGTTCATATAACTGTGATCATTACCACGACCACTATGACCAATTACCATAACCATATGACTGTGTCCTATTAATTACCATATTTCTATTACCATTTACCATGACCATATTAAAGTGAAAAATTACCATGACCATATTACTGTAAATTTGAGACAAAGTAATCGTTACCGTGTATTCGATGACAAATTTGCTCCAGACTAAATTAGAATCTGACCTATTTACCTACGACCAAATATTTTTTTACACAAACCTTGCTGTGTCCAATTTACCTATATTCCTCAGCATATGTGTTTTCATCAATTGATATTCCTCGTTCAAAACAAGCCAGACTAAATATGTCAACTTATGACTTTAAAGGGGCAGATTCGCCATTTGTTTACCCAATTGTACTTAAATCATAAATAATAGTGTTCAAAGCTCACTGTCGAAATTTCAAACCTTTCAAAAATTTTTCAATGACCGTTTTTATGTTTGTTGCCCTAACCAACCTTAGGTAAGCCTAAGAGACACACATTTTGCAAAGTTTCCTATTGACCTATCACTATGATATTAAATTTTACTGTCAACTTCAGCACAATAATCTGGGTTACTTCCCTTTACTGGCAAATAAATAAAATTATGAAAATCCCATCGCATTTCAGCTCCAGATTCGGGTCATTAAAATGGAAAACGGACTCCATGCAGTGTACAATGGGGGTAATATTGTCAGAACAGCGACATCGGACTATTCAATTTGATTTCTAACATCTTGGTCGACTGAAACAATAAGGATTTTATTAAAGATCACTAAATTGTTTAGGTCGACCAAAAAGAATTTGTTGATGCCCTCGGAGAGCTGGTTAATCATTGATCGACTAACTTGACGAAAAATATTGGGTCATGAGATTTCAGACAGTTCTACATTAATTAAATAAAACAATTTTCATTGACCATATTACGGTCATCATCACCACGACCATATTGCCATGACTATATTACTGTTACCAATTACCTGTGGTCACTCTAAAATTTGACATCTTATCCATTACCAAGTATTTGATGACAAAATTGCCCAGTAATTTATCATCTGTAAGAGTCATTATCTCTATGAGTTATGAGTTTTAATGAATAGTGTATCTTGACTTGTGGAGAAAAATGAAAACATATCAATTGCTCTAATAAGGGTGCATATGATATCAAGTTATAAAACAAAACTTAACGATGGGTTTCCTTAATTCTTGGTGTCATATTAAGCAAACTATTTGACTTATTGGTGTTACTGATGAATTACCATGTATTTTTAATCATGTCATTATGTTCTTTAACCAATCATAAATGTCCAAGTATTTACAGTCTGAATAACCAAAAACAACTTTTTGACCTTTCTTGATCGGTCACTCATTGGAATTCTGCTGGTAATTCTCTTTAAAATTATTGAAAATGACAAGGTTTAAAAAGAAAAACTGAGGTATATTGAAAGAATTTTCCGATTTTCGTGCAGTTCGGATACTCCTAAAGACTATTTACATGTTTAAAGCCCAAATTAACCTCTGGAAATGATGAACCATGGCCTTTTGCACTTCTACGTAAATAGACGAAATATCGTACCGTATCAGCAAGACGTACAACTTTCGGACACCACATAATATATTTTTAATAGATTAGATTGGACGTAATCGGTCGTGCTTGATTACAAGGATTCCAAGGCTCGAACAGAGAGCGGAGGCTTGATTATCATAACTCATGGGTTAGGTGACATCACCATAGAGTACATTGGTCGATTTTCTATACCTGACTGAAAAGCCTTTCACACACGAGAAACTATGGAATTAAGTAATCGAAGTTTGACTTCATTCTAAAAATCGGCAACTTCTTGAAAAATAATTTATCTAAGTTAATCTTAAAAGGAATTTAATCCTCACGATTGCACGTTATATTTTGAAGTAATTGAGACTTATACCGTAAATCAATAAAGATGCGAACATTAGATAACAAAACAATTTCAATATAATAAGGAGTAGAATTTGCACTTTAAGTGCAATTATCTATGGATACCAGTACTCCAAAACCCACGTAAGATATATTACTTCTGGCAAAAAGATTTAAAAAAGCACTCAATTAAATGTAAGTATGGTTATGCAGTGAAAGTATACCTTGAAGACAAAAAGAAAGTATTCAAGCAGATTTGAAAACAGACTCAAGAGGTATAACGCAAAAAACTTTAAAGGGATTGTAAAGAGTGCTTCACTAATCGCGAAGGCCTTTTTGTGATATAAGCATATTATATTGCGATTTGTGACTTCATCAAACACTTATCCCCAGCACCAATCTTGATCCGTATGGCACTACAGAATGAAACTGAACACGATCTTTGAAAAAAATTCTTCAGATCATTAAAGGAACGTGTAACCTACAAGAAGGGAAACAGCTAGGACAACGTGCTCCTTATATAAAAGCCTAATTAGATCGAAACACCAATAAACGATTTGAGCTGAAGATAGTCTAATGAATGCATATAGTTATTGAAGATTTTAATCGTTCCCTATTGGTTTTATTGTCATATTTAGCCGTTGGAGAATTTTATTGCCGTTTTATTGGCATTTTATTGGCCTACAGCCGCATGGGATTGGTGACCTATTGCCAAGCTTAATTTCAAGGTATTATATTTATTCAAGGAACCTGTCTACTGTCTGGCAATAACTGTCTTTTATTGAATATATGAGGCATTTCGTACAATTTGTGATTAAGGTTTTAATACAAGCATTAAAAACCTATATATGGGTTTAAACATAGACTACAGTCAATATCGTCCATCATTTTGACGAGCAAAAAGGGACATTTTCAGATTTTTAGAGGAATTATGTACATTAAAGTTATTCGAGATGACATTCCATGAATTTTAAAACAGAAATTCCAATATATTATTCTGTACATTCATCACACCTGGAAAATAGCATACGGTTTTACGTTTCTGTATTTGATATAAATGCAGTAAAGGGACATTTACTAGGTGCCTTTTGTGACTTCAGATGTTTGTCCGTCATCACACCAATCCAATCTGGTCTCGGAACTCATCCAGTCACATAAGCATACTATTATATTTCAAACAAATCAGATGAACATTCTTAGCCTCTATTGTGTTAAAATCTGATTTAAAGCAAGGAAATATGGAATGGAAGGCAATATAAGACCAGTAAATAATGTGGGCGTATAACAATGTTGCGATTAATCAAAGGAGTGAAAATTCAGAGTTGGAATTCCAGATCTCACTACATTATCCACCATGGTCGATGTGATATATTTAAAGGGCTCATTCAATGCACAATGCTCATTGGAATTTAGATTTAAATTTGATATTAAATGAATTTTAAGTGTCGTCCTCGTACTTGCCAGCAACGCCATGCAGTGTGCAGCGAAAAGCATTTTTAAAGCAGCCCCTTCTTTTTCAGTTTTCTGCATTTTTTGCGGGGGTTTCTTTTCAAATTCGAAGAGGGTCGTTTTCACTGTAGGAAACAGATTTAAATCAAAGTTCTATTTCATCTGAAAGACAGAAAATTATGACTATCCGCTATGAAGAAAGGCCGCAATTCAAATGAATGGATTAAAAAAACACAGACGAATATTTTATAAGATTTACAATATGTATAAAGAAAACATTTAAAAACACAAAGGCAACGACGAAATTCTATTGAATAATCCTTCTAGAGTACTTGTATGTTCTCGTCTTTTGTTGGTGTTTTTCCAGACATGACTTCTGATATTTCTATCACTGGAAACGACTTGACAATTAATGATAAATATTGGTATACTCGCTAAAAGAAACGTCTATGTTTAAAAGTTAAAGAAATATAATAAATGTTCAGCAAAGATTTGTGATAAATTTTGATATACCAACGTATTTTGACTTCAAATGCAGATCTGTAGTGTTCCGTGTTTCTACGAATTACTCTACCCATTCAAAGATCTTATTAAATTCTTCTTCAAATCATGTTTATTCCATCTCCACGGCTAAATTGTTTCTCATAAGTGTTGCCCACCAATCAAAACTGTTGTTACACGTGGACTAGCATATAGTGTTTAACAATAAACATTTTAGAATTCTACAGTCGTGATCCGCCATGTAAAGTCAACAAAGCTTTCTTTCAACAAGGCATTTCATCGGTTTAAAATTATGTCCGAAATATCGTGGAGTAGAAAAGGTTCTACAAAGATCCTCACAGATCTGCATTTTAAGCACTTCAATGAAACAGGAAACATGTACGACAATTTATAAAGATCTTGAAAGATAGCTTGCCAGGCACGGTAACATACGCTCACTGCCAGCTGTCAGAATGAAAACGAAATCTTTAGTGGCTTAAATATAAATTTTCAAGTAATCTTAAAATCATCCATAAGTCAAAACCTGAACAGTTCATCAACTTATCATGAAATTCAAACATGGACATTCTCTCATCGCTGTACACACAAGGGCAATAACTCGGAAACTGTTGATTCGATTATTACCAATTTCTAACTTGACCGAGATATCATCATGCATATCTAGTTTCACCAAGATTGGATAAAAACTGTAGTCTCTATCGCGCCAGCAAGCCGAATTTGACAAGTTTTTACTAAGTCAAGGGCAATAACTCCGAAACCCTTCATTTGATTGTTACCAATTCCGCACTTGACCAACATCTCATCAATAATTTATATAGATGCATACCAAGTTTCATCAAGATCAGATAAAAACTGAAGTCTCTATCGTGCCTACAAGGCAAATTTGACGAGTTTTTACTAAGTCAAGGGCAATAACTCTAAAACCATTCATCCGATTATTACCAATTTCGAACTTGACCGAGATCTCATCAATATATACATGCATACCAAGTTTCATCAAGATCAGATGAAAACTGTAGTCTCTATTGTGCCTACAAGGCAAATTTGACGCGTTTTTACTAAGTCAAGGGCAATAACTCTGACACCGTTCATCCGATTATTACCAATTTCAAACCTGACCGAGATCTCATCAATATATACACGAATACCAAGTTTCATCAAGATCGGATAAAAACTGTAGCCTCTATCGCGCCTACAGGAAATGTGATTTCCATGTGGGCGTATAAAAAGACAAAGAGTTTTGTGAAAAAGAGTCACATATATTGCAAGGCGATGTGTTTATAAGAGTTCAAATTTCAGCCAGTGCATTATTTTAGTTCTACCAAAAAATAATGATAAATATATCACCAAGGAATAGTGTAAATTGATGTAAGATATAATGTTTAAAAATACACACAGTTAATATATGGTCAAAGCTGTACGAATGCTTCTTTTAGAGAGTACTCGAGATTCCAGTAGATTCCACAATTTTGTTCCACTATCCCTCACTCTATCAATAATGGCGCCTTAAAGACTTTACGCTTGGAAAAGATTAGTATCCACCATAGATCCATAGTTTACAAGTCGGCAGTCTGTGTTACACCATATGATCTCTGAGAAGCAGGAATGGTAGAATTCATCATTAACATGGTATTAGAGTTCTGATCGCCGCACCTCGAACACAGTTTAATCAATGGAATTGGTAAATGTTTACAAATAGATCTCCTGATATTCTTAGACATTATAATATAGATAACAGGATTTAAACTGGATTGAACATACGGTAATAAATTAAATACCACCTGAAATATACAGAAATACAATATACAAAATATCATCCGATTTCAACATTAAATACAAAACATCCTTTATAGTCATACACATATACATAATATTGTCAGGTATACATAGATGTCTATGTCTTGTTATACAAAATATTGTCTGGTGTGCATACAAATATACAAAATATCTGCTTAAAAAAAAACACATATAAAAATATATATAACATACAATGTCTTTCGTATAGTGAGTTTAAGTATAGGTCAGCAGTATTCTTGTTAACCCTTTTAATGCCCGTGATTAGTTTTTAGCTTCTGTTCAATTCAAGCACTTTGTTAGTAAGTTTGAATTATCTGTGACCGAGTACAGACGCGTATAGTCACCTTAGCTTACCCTATAATTATACAATTAACAGAACGACATTCGAATGACGTATATGAATATAAGTAGATTTTAGAATTGAAATCAAATAAAAGTGACAAAGGGGGTAATCTTAATAAATGTGGAATGAATTTATTTATTTGTCTAATAATTCAGTCTGTTGTTGGCAAATAATTTTATTAAAAGCCGGCCACAGACAGTTATTCCACATATTCTTAATATAAAATGTCAGTCTTCCTGTTGTAGATTTATTGGCAGTCCCATCATTTCAGTGTCCAAGCCAATTGGATTACTATTATTGGTGTTTGAATGTAACAAATTCAATATCTTTAAACTATCTTAGAAATTCTTCATATAGCGGCCTGTTTGGAAATGGGCCAAAAGCAAATTTGATCAAACATACAACGTTGATAACAGAACAGTAAAAAGAAAACATTTGATAACTTTGTGAGAAAAACATCATACGGGCAACATAGTATAGGTCAACAAACGATAAAACAGAGATAGATATAAGTTGATGATAAAACACAGATAGATAGAAGTTGTTGATAAAGTATATATATATAGTACAGATAGATAGAAGTTGATGATAAAACACAGATAGATAGAAGATGATGATAAAACACAGACAGATATAAGTTGATGATAAAACACAGACAGATATAAGTTGATGATAAAACACAGATAGATAGAAGTTGTTGATATAGTATATATATATAGTACAGATAGATAGAAGATGATGATAAAACACAGATATATAGAAGTTGATGATTAAACACAGACAGATATAAGTTGATGATAGAACACAGAAAAATAGAAGTTGATGATATAGTACAGATAGATAGATGATGATGATAAAACACAGATAGATAGAAGATGATGATAAAACACAGATAAATAGAAGATGATGATAAAACACAGATAGATAGAAGTTGTTGATATAGTACAGATAGATAGAAGTTGTTGATAAAACACAGATAGATAGAAGATGATGATAAAACACAGATAGATAGAAGTTGATGATAAAACACAGATAGATAGAAGTTGATGATAAAACACAGATAGATAGAAGATGATGACAAAGCACAGATAGATAGAAGTTGATGATAAAACACAGATAGATAGAAGTTGATGATATAATACAGATAGATAGATGTTGTTGATATAGTACAGATAGATAGAAGATGATGATAAAACACAGACAGATATAACTTGATGATAAAACACAGATAGATAAAAGTTGTTGATATAGTACAGATAAATAGAAGATGATGATAAAACACAGATAGATAGAAGTTGATGATAAAACACAGATAGATAGAAGTTGATGATAAAACACAGATAGATAGAAGATGATGATAAAACACAGATAGATAGAAGTTGATGATAAAACACAGATAGATAGAAGTTGATGATAAAACACAGATAGATAGAATATGATGATAAAACACAGATAGATAGAAGTTGATGATAGAAGTTGATAATAAAATACAGATAGATAGAAGTTGTTGATATAGTACAGATAGATAGAGGTTGTTGATATAATACAGATAGATAGAAGTTGATGATAAAACACAGATAGATAGAAGTTGATGATAAAACACAGACAGATAGAAGATGGTGATAGAACAGAAATAGATTGGTGATATAATACAGATAGATAGAACGCCTATGATGTTAGTTACCAAGAAATGGTCGATAAATTCTAACGCTCTATAAGGCTGTGTTACATGTTCCCCACATGCTGAAGAAGTTCAAAATATGAAATAATAAAAAAAACAACAACAAAAAACTGCAGTCATAATTCTTTGAAGTAAGATGAGATCGGCATTACCTTTATTCTTGGATTAAAGCATTAATTTCTGCCATATTGTTAAGAAATCAATCAAGATTGAAATCTAATTCACGCTTGTCGTAATGCCTCATTTGATCCTTTTACACTTGTAAAATTTCGAGATATACGGTGATGGTTATATGAAAGATTATCAGATAATGTCGTAACATATCAATCACCATATAAAGGAACAATTGACATTTTATTCAATATACCCCATCATTTTTAATATACATCATGTTGAGTGTTCTATATAACCTGAATCACTATTATGATTATCTAACATTAATCTGCTGATTGGACAATTTTTTTTACAACCACCCATGATGCCACCGATATATTTTTATTAATTCGAGATTTTATCAACTCGAAATGAAGAAAGATGAAATAGCTGGTTTTATTTTGTCCACTACATAATATATACCTTTCAGTACATGACAGTACTTGCTCTGTTAGCCGTGCAATTATAACATATTTTTCAAAAGCAATTTTCCGTGCTTTCTGTACCTAATGGTATGTTACTACTTGTTCGACTGGAAAACACAATTGTCTTAAACGAATACTTATATATATGAAAAAAAAATAATGAAGTGCTAAAATATACGTAAATTCGTGCTTTCTTTACCTAATGGTATGTCAATGCATGGATAAGCGCTTATCAAAACCAGACATTTTAACGAACAAACAAAGTGAACACGAAATTTTGTGAAACTTCCTTTCTTTTTTAAAGAACAGCACAAGATATAAAAGAGACTTGACAAGGACTTCTACTAGGAAGGCCAAGTGTTCAACGCTACGAATATCCGTTCATATGTACCTGTTGCAGCGTATAGTGTCATGTATTTTATACAGACAAAACCTACATGGCAACAAACTTTTGGCCTTCATAACAAAATTAAATAGCAAGGTGACATGGTTGCTGTCAATTGCTGTCAACCTTAAGGTTTCATGTATGTGATCGTTTCCTTCGTATGTCAAACACACAGCAAAATGATGAATCCACGGGTCAACGCAGGCTGAACTAACCTGAACTATTCATTTTTTTCTAACAGAAAAAAAGGTTTATATAACGGTTTATGTCAGATAAAATATATTTATAATATAATTGAAAACCCTTTCCCAAAGAAATACCATAAAATCATTCGGCCGTCTATAATCCTAAAAGTAGTGAAGCTCTTATTCCTTTGAAAAAATTGGCTTTAAAATTTGAAAAGATTTTCTTTTTTCAAAGAGACTCATGAATTATTAGAAAATGTTAGGTAGTGAAACTAAAAACTGAAAAATGTAGAAAGTGAATTTTTACTTACGATCGCCATAAACACCATTGAATTAAAACTTAGAACTCTCTTTTTCTTCATCACATGTATAATTAATTTAGGCCCCCAACTGATCAGGAATACAGTAATTATAACCACCAACATTTTTATAACCTAAAATAATTATACAATAACATGTATAATTAATATAGGTCCCAACTGATCAGGAATACAGTAATTATAACCACCAACATTTTTTATAACCTGAAATATTTATATAATAACATGTATAATTAATATAGGTCCCAAACTGATCAGCAAAACAGTATTTATAACTACCAAGATTTTTATAACCTGAAATATTTATATAATAACATGTATAATTAATAAAGGTCCCAAACTGATCAGGAATACAGTGATTATAACCACCAACATTTTGATAACCTGAAATATTATATATATAACATGTATAATTAATTCAGGTCTCCAAACTGATCAGGAATACAGTAATTATAACCACCAACATTTTTATAATCTGAAATATTCATATTATAACATGTATATAATTAATTTATATCCCCAACTGATCAGGAATACAGTAATTATAACCACCAACATTTTTATAACCTGAAATATTTATATAATAACATGTATAATTAATATAGGTCCCAACTGATCAGGAATACAGTAATTATAACCACCAACATTTTTATAACCTGAAATATTTATATAATAACATGTATAATTAATATAGGTCCCAAACTGATCAGCAAAACAGTATTTATAACTACCAAGATTTTTATAACCTGAAATATTTATATAATAACATGTATAATTAATAAAGGTCCCAAACTGATCAGGAATACAGTGATTATAACCACCAACATTTTGATAACCTGAAATATTATATATATAACATGTATAATTAATTCAGGTCTCCAAACTGATCAGGAATACAGTAATTATAACCACCAACATTTTTATAATCTGAAATATTCATATTATAACATGTATATAATTAATTTATATCCCCAACTGATCAGGAATACAGTAATTATAACCACCAACATTTTTATAACCTGAAATATTTATATAATAACATGTATAATTAATATAGGTCCCAAACTGATCAGGAATACAGTAATTATAACTACCAACATTTTTATAACCTGAAATAATTATATAACATGTATAATTAATATAGGTCCCAACTGATCAGGAACACAGTTTTTATAACCACCAACATTTTTATAACCTGAAATAATTATATAATAACATGTATAATTAATATAGGTCCCAACTGAATAGGAATACAGTAATTATAACTACCAACATTTTTATAACCTGAAATAATTATATAATAACATGTATAATTAATATAGGTCTCCAACTGATCAGGAATACAGTTTTTATAACCACCAACATTTTTATAACCTGAAATAATTATATAATAACATGTATAATTAATATAGGTCCCAACTGAATAGGAATACAGTAATTATAACTACCAACATTTTTATAACCTGAAATAATTATATAATAACATGTATAATTAATATAGGTCTCCAACTGATCAGGAATACAGTAATTATAACCACCAACATTTTTATAACCTGACAGGAATACAGTAATCATAAAAATCAGAAAAATTGAAAAGTTTTTAGTACGAGTTATTGTCCTTGAAAACGCATTCAAATTTTAGCTTGTCATGGTACATGTTTCTGAAATCACATGGATCACGGGCATGGCATTGAAAATAGGAATGGTGTAAATAGAAGTTATACCCAATACAATACAATGCTACAAATCCCTTTACTTTTTGACAAGGGTCTTGGTTTTATAATTCAGATGTCTTTCCCAATTACATCAATCATGACTGAATTAGGTTAATTCAAAACCGCCTGTGGATATTATCATTTCGAATCGGTGATCTAATTTGATACAATTTGATAATTGTTTTATGTAATATTTTCCGTTTCAATTTATCTGTCAGTACTAGTAAAATCATGTGTGGAGAAAGGCTTAACCCGGATAATGTGAGGTGACTATACGAATACTAAGCCTGCGTTTTTCTCAATAATAAGACATGAAGAGGATTAGATCAATTATCATATTATTATATTATACTGGAGTAGTAAATCATCTTCAATTAGTCAAGGAAAAGTCAGTGGTCTAAATTCTGTTTACGGATGGACAGAGTGTTGTATGTTTCCAGGCCTGTAACTACAAAGGGGCAATGCGAAAATCACTGTTGACGAGGGGAAATCAGAATGGTGAAATTGCCACAGATTCATACACAGACCAGGGATTCCGTACGCACGAATAAATAGTTCATGTGTAAAAGGCCCTCAATGATAAGCTTAAATTGACCACCGAGTTGGCTATAAACTCTGATCTAGCGAAGATATTTCAGAATGTGTTCATCAAGATGACTGTCAAATACACTGACCAGTGGACAATTTTGTTTACATACATAATAGTATTCTGAATGTCCAGTCTTGACCATGAGGTCATAAGTAGGTACTAAACAATACAGTGATTATAGCGGACACGACTGGAATTTGTACGAATTGATTACTATTGACCAATATATTGTGTAGTACATCTTACCTAAATGTGAACCTTGCTGTGAACTTCCGGTATGCCGGAAGTAATCTACTGCTGTCTAAATGCGATACATAGGAAGAACATGTTATTCCCATAGTTTCAGAAAGCAGGTTACATGGTGAGCTAATTAAAGTCTGACATGCGATTTTGATTTCTGATCTTGACAAGCTATTGACAAGATGAATCAAATTAGTATTATAAAGTACGTTTCTGAAAAGCAATCTGTTACATTAGATGGGTCATTGAACACCTGATTTTACTCTGCGACTAGGATTCCCATGGACGAGACTTTCACTGAAACCAATCTTCAACCTATTAGTTATTAAATTCACAAGTTCAACTACAACTTTGATGGTTGTAGGTGGTGGTCTGGGAGCTTGGTTTCGTCGATTTCGGAGAGTTAACATAACTAATAATGTACAGTTTAGTCATGTCTAATATCGTACTACCGTGTCCCTTTATTGAGATCGCTGTGTGGAATAGGCAACGAAAAGCAAGAGTCAATATGTCATTAGTTTCGAACACTGGAGATGAAAAATAAACAATTAAAATCACATAAAGAAAGCTGTCAATCATAAATACCAATCACGCCATAATAAATTATCTGATCAATTCGATTGACTGACCACAGCAATTTTAGTGACAAATTGTCGTTCTGAAATCGATGTACTCTTAATATACTTAGAAGTTATACATTGTGGGAACGACAGTAAAGTACAGTACAGTACAGTAGAAGTACAGTACAGTACAGTTCCCTACCGTACCGTACAGTTCCACAGTAGAAGTGTAGTACAGTAGCACTGAACAGTACAGTGCAGTAGAAGCGTAGTACAGTACCGTACCGTACAGTTCCACAGTAGAAGTGTAGTACAGTAGCACTGAACAGTACAGTACAGTAGAAGTGCAATACAGTACAGTACAGTACCGTACCGTACCGTACAGTTCCACAGTAGAAGTGTAGTACAGTAGCACCGTACAGTACAGTAGAAGTACAGTACAGCAAATAGCACTCGAAGATCTTCAGGAGACTTTCGAATTAAAAGCAAGCAAAATTAACAAAAAAACAATAGATCTGTTGACAATCGAGCAGAAATATTTGATTTCGGTGTCATTTAGAAATTGGAAGGTGTTCTATTTGGTACACTTACCTGTTGCCTGGACTGTAGAGCGGGATCTTTTTGGTATGATGATTTACATCTATTTAGAGGACTGGTAGTGGTGTCGTCGTTTAAACCTTTTCCTAAAGATATATTATGTCTTACACCATTTCTTGGATATCTGAAATATGTAAAGAACAACAGGGTAGGATAATTTAGAAAAATTTGTCCACTGTGGTTTACAAGACCTGGCTAAAAGATAAGAGTTTTTATGCTCAAACTTATTTTGCTTCAATATTTCATCCACTCATACATGGATGTTGCATGGCTGCAATGTATTTTGGTTTCGAGAAAATGACTGGAAAAAGACACATAAACGAGCTATTTTGGGGCAAATTATCCAGTCGTTCCACACCGCAAAAGCAAAATTTGTTTCTAACGCTTAAGATTTTCTCTTAAGAAGATTCAAAGCTCAGAGCACCTGCTAATCATCCCACTTATTGCCGAAGAACGGATTTTGCGGGACTGATTGTTTAGTTATGTTATCCCAACGAGCCGAAGAGGAAAAATGTCCCTATTTTAATGAACTAATAATTTAGATGGCACAGATAATTTTTCTACTTTTGACCGAATGTGATGTAATATGAACTGTTTTCAGAGTGTTATTTTTGGACGACAATCAAGGCCATCAAGTATTTGCATTCCACAAATGAGTGTAATGATTTTATTAAGGAACGTCAGCATTATTTCCGTGATTTTTCTACCGATACAAATAATAAAATCTAGAAGCAATCGTGAAGAGAATTTTAATACTGGTAGTTGAATTCCATTGGCTTCTATGTATTCGTTAATGGAAAAGGTTACATGTCTTTTATTTGATAGTGGTGACTGTAAAAGACTGGAAATGAGCTTATTATAGTCTCGATCTTAACAGTTGAATACTTTATTTTAAAAGGATTGCCCGTTAACTTGAAGTACGGCTTCTTGATCAGAATTAAAACTTTCAATAGTCCACTTGTTCAATTTTCCGGTAGGCCCTACACACCATTGGAGGCGTTAGCCTTCCGAGACAAGGGTTACACTTAGGGGGCAGACTGACTCAATGTTGGGACAAATGACGAGGCTGAATTCTACGTCAACTGTGTGGTGGGTGTCTTCTCTGAGAGGGTTTTGACTAGAATTTTTTTTTTTTAAATTGATTGATTTGGTGCACCGTGACACATATTTTGAGGCAAAAACGTGTAAAACTATCAGTTCTTGAATTTGTTAAAAATAAAGTGCTGGTACAATTGGATGGTAAAAACCATTTTTCTAGGATAGCAAAAGATAACTTCACTGACGCCGCCACTGGTAACGTGTTATTTTCCTCGAAGTTCCCACCGTGTGTCATAATGAAAAAGGAATGAGCCGGACGCCATTTTTCTAATAATGATGACGTCATTTCTAGTTTGACTGCAGAAATTCTTTTTTCGACCTGCATCGAGACCTTGTAGCACCACTGACAAAAGTGTGTAAACTTGGAAAGAAAATGTGTAAAGAAATAAATGAAAGCCATCGACCTAGTACGATTCTTTCAAAGTTAGACTAAAAACTTCTCAGCCAGCCCTCATATCAAGCTAAGGACTTTTAATGAGCTATAAAAAGATATCTGGAGGATATCTAAGTGAAACTGGGAGACGGCTTATATTTTCTATATTTTCTAATACTCCATTAAGAAATTGCTGTATAATACTAGACACAGTTTAATCTAATGATATTATTATATATATATTCTAGTTACAAAATATGACGATATACTCTCAATATTACCACGATTAACTAAAATGTAACCCAAATGGCGATGAGAAGCCGCAGATACAGAAAACCTAAATTGTTATCATTAAAAATGTCGTCACTTCTACACAAATCTTTAGCATTTCCAATCATAGGAAGTTCAAAAGTGGCCGTGTTTGATTTAAATTGTTTGATACGTAGGTTAATACGATCAATAATCCCATTGACCTGTGATTGATATCATTCAATTTAGATTTCTATTTCCAGATGAAAGGGATATTGTCATCGAATTATTCGTATTATTTAAAGGAAAAAAGAACGTTACCTCAGCTGGCTGCCTGTATCATTTTACAGAATCGAAATCCAACGTCGGGTTTGTTGATCTTTATCACCATTCTCTCAAGCAGAAAAGTCTTGGCAATAATGTCAGACTGTCATTCTGAAAAATGATACTCATAGCCAACGTTGTCACGGTTGAACTTGAAATATCATTTTAACGGAAATCAAAGCTTATGAAGTTAACAAAGGACCAAACTACAGAAATACTGGGGCAATTACTTTATAAGCATCCATCGATTCTACATCGAGAAGAGGGAACGCCTACCTTAACAACATTCGTTCAACGAAATATAGTCAAGTTCAAATCGTCTGATATATCACAATCCTTTTAACTTTTGTCGTGATAACAAGCTGATTGTGAAGAGTCAAGGGCATTAACTCAAACACCGTTCATTGAAATATCGTCAAATTAGGATTCGTTCAAGGTCTTGAGGGATAGACTCCAGGTGTCATCATCCCTCAATGCCTATATACCAAGTTTCATCAAAATTGGTCTACTTTTTAGTATTATTCGTTATAGGAAATTTTCACGTCTTGAACTGTAGAATGACGGGCTACCCCTTGAAAGAACCGAAGTGTTCGTTATACCGCAAAAAGAAAGTATTATTAACTAATAATGCGAACGAAATATTGCAGTTAAATGTCCGTAATTTATTTAATTTTTACAAAGCGATAACGTACGGTTTGTTATCATATAAAATTCTCGAGAATACTGGAGAAATAGAATTTCCTCGAAGTATAAAAAGTGACAGTATCAATGCTGCGGAAATTGGTTTATTCAATGTTATTGAAAGCATTTGAGTGCCATGATTAAACCGAGACTGTTTTTTTACTCTTGGGAATTATCGGTTTACTAACATTGATCTTTTAAGTGTTTAACATTAAGTTAAAAAGTGTTATAGAGTCGTTCAAGGAAGGGACATCTAAAATTTTTTGAGAAGTAAAAAAAACTATCCCAAAAGTATTATATAAATATAGTGTGAAGTAGCTCTGTCTTGATATTATTTATTTTAGCTTTGATATCGTATGGGGACACTTCTGTCTGTTTAGATAACGCTATTTAAAATGGTATTTCTTTGCTGTTAAATAGATACTTTCAATTGAAAATTCTGTCTTGATATTAAATTTGTCTTTTGGGAACAGTCTGTTTGGTAGAGCAGCAAGAGATACTCGACATTAATAGTTCTGACAAGTTATGTCTGGATCCTGATGGTTCTGTCTTGACATTGATAGCTCTGTCTTGACCTTAATAGTTATTTCTGGACATTGATAGCTGCCTTGACTTTGATAGCTGTCTTGGCATAGATAGTTATGTCTGGATATTGATAGTTCTGCCTTTATTCAATAGTTGTCTTGACTTTGATAGTTGTTTAGCCATTGGTAGCTGTCTTGACATTGATAGTTCTGTCTGGACATAAATAGTTCTATCCGAATACTATTGTTCTTGCAATGATAGATAAATAAACCAAATACTAACGATCCTTTGACTTCACATTGATAGAAATAGATATATCTTCACATCTGTCATAGGTATAGGTATGTCAAAACTTTACACATTAGGAAATTTCTCTCTCGAGTACAATGATTTCTACGGCAAAGATCGCCAAGCACTGGTTTGCCAAAGATCTTCCACCTAGTTTACTAGCTTTTTCCACGAGAAGAGCCGGTCGGTCAATCGATTGGTTGGACAAAATTCCTTTTTTTGATAGCCGAAAAAAGGGGTTAAAAAAGGGGGAATTTTTCTAGCGTGTAAGATGATTTCAACGTCAAAAGATCGATCACGGGTTTCGTGTTCCTAGAGAAGCGTCCCTCCAGTCGGTCGACGAATGATCTATGAGCACCAATTTAGAATAGTTATATAATTCCAATGATAGTTCCATCTCGACATTGATAGTTATTTCTGGATGTTGATTGATGTTCTGCTTTATGGAAAACGCCATTAAAATGAGTTGAAACCGACAAATATGCTTTATTTCTATCTTATAGAAATAAAGCAAATATAGAACACCATAAAGTCTAAATCTACCTGATAAAGAAAGTGCCTGTGGACACGATAGTTTAGTTCTAGTTCTAGTTCTAGTTTAGTATATATAGTACAGTCTTATCATTAATTCCAGCCACATATCATTCCGACTACAATCTCTATTCAACAGGAAATCACTCTATATTATCTTTAATTAAACTAATAAATATTAGCTGACGTTAGTCCGAGCAACTCCTGAAATTGTTGTAGAAAAAGACGTTAAGGGGACAGATTCGCCATTTCCGGGGTGTTGATTGGGGTCTTGAATATATGTAAATAGTACAAAAATCGAATGATTCCTTTCAAAATAATAGGAATTGAATGCTCTATTTCTATATATCACAGAGTTTCTTAAAAAGTCGTCTTTTTAACTTTTAAACGCAAATAATTTTGGACACATAATGGATTTGAAGGCTCAAATTTCGATGGTGAGTTGTGAACTCTATTACTGATTAGCTTTGCTAAGAATTTCCAGTCTTTATGACTAAGGTACGATCGGTAAAAAAAGGCTCACCTGTCCCTTTAAAAGAATTGTAAAGAAGTGTTCTTATGTACATCAAGGACAGTTATACATTGTGTTAATCTCAGCTCTGGGCTAGGTAACATAGCTCTAGTTTTTCCTCGGGTGAAATTAAACAAATGGTGGTGAGATAGAAACTTTGAAAGGATTAATCCTTAAATGCAACACAGTGCATTAAACCCAATCCATGCATAAGCATTATTAAGATTTTTGTAAATTGAATACATCCCATAATCGGATTGGTTCCCAATTGCATCCCAATGGCTGTTTGAAATTAGACATTGAACAATTTCTATAGAGGGATATTAATACCAAGCCTTCACTGTATCGCATTGACCAACTGCGAGATAAATCTGGGTGGGTTTTAAATCCCAACCGCTCTAACCGCTAATACAAATACTACGAAACGAAACATTTCCAATTTAGCCGAATTTCTGGTGACATCAATGTATCATACTAAGAGGGCGGTTGGAATTTAAAACACACACATATCGCTATGTATTTTGTAAATAAATTGCATTTGAAATTATTGAGGAAACGAATACCATTGTTGATAATGAATCGATGGAGTTAACGTTCTTTCCTTTTATTATTATGATGATGAATGTTTAGCTTGCTTGACTAAACGGCTATATTGTGATTAATAACTAACACTTTCAAGCCATAACTTTGCTTCACATGTTATGATTTTTGCTATTAGAGAAACTCACAACGAAATCATCACAAAAGTCGGTTGACATATTCTCCAGTTTGACAAACTCTGTTAGATGTATAAAGCAGTATTGGGTCGAATATTCGGGGTAGTGTCCCAACCCAGTGAGTATGGGCTACGAAAATAATAATATAAGCTATATTAGTTAGCTATGTGAACGAGTTTTAAGATATTAATTGTTACAGTCCAATTTTAACAATGCTTGTGATTTGTTATCATGAACACCAATCTAAATAGTATTGGATTACAATTTCGTCTCTTTTTTCTGATTTTTTTCAGTCCACGGTGTAATTTAAGAAGATTTCTACCATAAGCCTGTCCTGCGTATCATCTTACATCTGTTTCTTGATAAAAAAAAATAAATAAATAAAGAATTGTGGGATAGCGAAAGAGTCTGTAAAATAGGTCTACTTTGGGTTTCACTATCCCACAATTCTTTACTTCATCAAGAAACTGATTCTACATGGTATGGTATAGAAGAATACGTCAGAAAACATGAAACACTTAGATCTGCATTTCATCATACTGAAAATCGTCCTGCGTTGTCATCGAAGCTTTTTGATAGGTTTTAATTTCAATTTTTTTGATTGGCGAAGATAAAATGACATTTAGTGAACTTTCAAAAGGTGTTGATTCAAAACAGAAATTGGAAATTTATATCGGTGATCGAATCATGGATTTTTCTATAAAACAAATTTTGTGGCATTTTGGAGAAAATGACACACACCAGAATCGTCATATACCACACTTATACAACACAGACACTCAATTTAGACAGAAAGACATTTTTTCGGACTAACTGGATTTATCGTAAAAATGATCATCATTAATGATATGATGATAATTACATTTAATATGAATTAATCACTGCCTTTTATCTTCTTATACTCAATGCTATCAAAAATCGCTTTTCTTCAATGATACATTGCAGATTATTTTGTCTTGATTGCTGATTAACCGTAAATCATTTATTTTAACATTCAAGCGCATTTTAAAGGGATCATTGCGCCATCCTTTTGATCAACCGTTCTTTATCCTTAGAAAAGGGATTTTTTTTAGCTAAGCCAATCAGTAAAAGTGTTCACAACTCAACGTCAAAATTTGAGCCTTCAAATCCATGTGTGTCCAGAATTATCCCCGTTTGATAGTTAAAAAGACGGGTCGTCTTTTCTTGAGACACTGCCATATATAGAAATACGATGTGAAATTCTTAGTTTGATATATTTTTGAAGGAATTATGCGATTTTCATACTGAAGACTATTAACATATATGCAAAACTCAAATCAACTCCTTAAATGGGGCATCTGTCCCTTTAAGGCTAAAGGGGAAATCAATGTGATATCATTCATCAGAAATGCAAATCTCAAAACCAATACATCAAATAAGAGTAAAATACAAATCTAGTTCGATTGTTACTCTTATACTAGGATCTGAAGACATTTATGATAAACACTTGTTCGAAATTCAACCAATCAAACGACTTGTCAGGTAGAACGATTGGGATATCTATTATTGCTTTGACAATTTCAGCTTTATAAATAACAAGTTAATAAATTAGCTCACATACATGAGGACTTTTGATGGTGTATCAGCAATTTTGATGATTTTTTTATATCGACCAATCAAATCTTCTTTTTCAAATGGTTTGCATAGATTTAATCATTGCAGCTGATTCAACATTAATGGATGATCAAAATATCGAAAAAACTTTTACTTTGAACATTTTTACTTTTCATCCAATCAACATTGACTAAATTTTATATTAAGTGGCTTACTTAATTGTTAAGAATTTCACAATCACACGACATTTGACTGATAGCTTGCGTTATTATCTGAGCAAAGTCAAAAGTGTTTTGAAATTTTTCTATATATTTTTAAGAGAATTGTAATATCAGCCTCAAAATAGTACTGCGTCAATAAAAATATCATAATTTGTAAGCACTTTCGTTTCTAGAAATTTCAATCAAAAAAGTCTTAACTTTGGGCTGAAAACTGTCCTCTATAAACATAACGTGTGCTCATGTTAATATTTTCATCAACACAAAGGCATTCTGAGTTTTGACAGTACTATTTTTAGGCTGTTATTCCAATTCTCAATAGAATAATGGAAAAAAAAACTTTTTACTTTGCTCAGATAATAGGGCCTATATTGTACGTTAAATCAGTATTAAGAAAATTTTAGTCGTTAAGAAGTTGGTGGTGGAGCTAAGCTGGTATATATAGTTACTGTTCTCCTAGATGATATAATTGCCCCTAAACACAAATAACAAATAAATCACTTATATATCAAATGATACATTTCTAAAAGAACAATTTACGCGTCACTTCATTTCATAATGTCCATCAAATATTAATGATCCAAACGAACTTTAATGAAAAAGTTAATAAATTCCTTCCTCTGGAAATGACTTCTTGTCTAGACTATTTCATGACAAAATATGGCTAAATTCTCTTTATCTTTAAACGAAATTAAATATGTCTAATCACCCTTGATATGTTAAGGCCAATTATTTGATAATTCATTTGGACATTATGTCCGTCATGAAAGATGAAGTACAAAAGCAAATTTGACTGATATTTGTTCAAACTGAAAGGGAAAACAAAGATAATAGATTGAGATCATTTTCGACCAATTTGACAACTTGTGGCTGATAAAAACAGGAACGTTGAGTTTCGTACTAATTTGATGAAAATGTTATGATGTGACCCTTTCGAACATTAATCTGCCCTTATTGGTGGCAAGCTGCACATTTTCTATCACCCTCTTGGGATTATATAGTCTACATAGCATTTTCAATATAAAAGGGAAGGGACAATTATTGTATTATGTATACATACAAAGTTTCATCAAATCCGTTAAAAACAGTAGATATTTATGGAAGACCAAACAGTCATTTGATGCTATGAGGGACAGGCGGGCCATTTTTTTGGCCCAACATGTAAATAGTCTCTGAAACTAGATTTTTTTAATTGAGCTAATAATCTGTGATGTATAGAAAAAAACATATCTAGAAATAGTGAGACTAGTTTACAAGTATATTTAAAAGAATTATGTGATATTCGTACATTAATTCTGAAGACTAGTTAGATATATTCAAGACTAAAATCAATCCTTCAAAATGGCACATCTGTCCCTTTAAATCCTACTCTTTACGTTTCAAATTTCTCATCATTGATTCTTAAATGCCTGGTGCAATTGGTGTCCAAAATGCACATGGCACAATCCCTTCAATACCTACAAAAATATGAGGAAAGTATCATAAAACTCCAATGTCAAATGGAAATGTAAATGCTATTTCTATAACAGGAAGAATTCTTCCTTTGTACTAAGAGGCAAAGTCGAAACAAACCCGTTACGGAATTAGGTCTGGCATTTGTCATATTTCTTATGTATATATTAATAAATAGTACGTATATTATTATCTATAATGATGTCAGATAATTTATGTTAATATTTCGGTTAAAGAGTACTTACACACGCAGTGTTCTTTATATCGTAGAAAGTACCTTACATTATCTATTTAATTATCATTTATCATAATTTATGTTAATGTTGATCAGATTAATGTATATAATTCGGCCACACAGTACGACTATAAAAGTACCGTTGATGGCCAGTCTTATTAAAATTCGAATTTAGACATTCCATTTGGGATCTAAAGACGGGCCTGTTGAACATTCGTTTGTTTGATGACACCGTCAGCCAATCAAATTTCTTCACTCTCCAACGCTGAGATTTTATTAAAAGTGTATTCCCAGAAGTATTAGACACTGAATTCTTCTTTTGTTCGCGTAACTAAATCCCTGCGTCGAAGAGGGCAGAAATTTGATTGGCTGGCGGCGTCATCAAACAAACGAATGTTCAAAAGGCCTAAATCTTACCTGAACTGGTCCAATTTTAATTAGACTGGTGGATGGTAATGTTTAGAAAAAGACAAACGGAAGCGACTAGGCTACAATTTATTTCGATTATTGCGTTTACTTGTAATGGCGTCATTTTGGTGCGTATCAACTCGTATGGAACGGATAATTTATAAAGTTATATATCTCAAGTGATGGAAATATCGGGCATTACGCACCGAATGGGCTCATTAGATGGAATAAGTGCACTTTGGAATATAGGAGAGCACTTGCCGCGACCTACAACAACGACCTTATATTAGTAGAATTGCTTTACCAACATATAACAATAATAAACGTGAACAAAATAAAACGTCTACCAAAAGCGTCTACAAGGCAAGTTGCTGCGGGACATTAAAACAATTACCAGGATTTACTATACCACTAGAATTCGATTTTTATCTCTTGTCAATTCTGCCAAACATTGACAATAAATTGATCACATATTGGCTGGACACAGTCCCTAGTGAATCAGGAATTCTATGTGTTAGACAGCTGAGTTCTATCTAACCAGTTAGTCATAATAATCAAATAACTTACTTTTGTGTTGATGACATGTGCTTCAATTGTTTGGTACTATGCCATAATATCCAAATAACTCTGGAGTAACAGAAGATAACTATTATGGCGGGAATAGCAAACAGCAGACACAGTTGAAATACAGCATAAGGCAATCTTCCAGAATCTGGTATACCGGCATCTCCACATAGAGTTACCGTTACTGATGATACATTGTTATAGTATAAATTGGTTTCTGTATCCTGAAATAATAACCAAATAGTTGTTCAAAACTCTTTTTTTTAACTTTTTTAATACCATTATTGACTAATCTATAAGGTCTCTTTTATACACTATACTGAATTTCTAGATTACCGTCAACGGAATTTATAGATTGTCTTCCACTTATTCTCTCAGATAGTTGCTAGATAATTTTTTTACTGAATTTCTAGATTTTCTATCATCTACTGAATTTCTAGATTATCGGCCACAAAATTTCTAGAAAATCTTCAGGTGGTATTCTAGATTACAGTCCACTGAATTTCTAGATTACCGTTCACTGATTTAGAAGATCATCGCCCACTCGATCTAGATGATCGTCATTTTATGGACTATCGTATTTTCACCTTTATCTTAATATGTCCTTCAGAAAGATAGGGTTTATAAAGGGTTTGTTCTACTAGCTGGCCCTTGGGCAAATCTCAGAGATGTTTCCCGAATGATTGGTACCCATTTACATCTGGGTCTAATGGAATTATGAGTGAAGATTACATCGAGGGTTTCAAAAGTTAATACCGTTCATGTGAGTGATTCCGGAATACCTTCTGATTTAGTCCACTTTTTATGTCTTGCAATCATCACGACTGGGGTCCGATTATGGTCTTACAGATGAAAAAAAAAGGATAGATTTAAATTGACTCTGAAACAAGACAGCTGTGAATAGTCTGGATGACAACACAGTCAACATCTTTATCAAAAGAGAAAGACTTCTTAGAAGGCCAAAGAAATCTTGAATGTTTCTTCAATACTTAATTCTCAATACTTAACTCTCATCTGCGAGATGACGGAAACTCAAATTGAGTTTCTATTAATGCGTTATGTCTGCAAAGTTTCATTGATATTGCATCATTCAAATACATGCAGATAAATTCTGACTTGATCCACAATCATTACCATTGGTGTCCAATTTTGAACGGTTCATTCACGTATGATTTCATTTTATCGACTCAATAAGTTCGAACCAGTGCAATCGGTTAGAAATGTGGTAGCACCAAAGTGACCACAAACGTCATAGTTTCCTGTATTTTCAACAGATCGCAGCGTTTCTACAATACATTCATGCATGGTCACAGACCTTCACAATAAACTCTTGTACATCTTCGTCATGTAACACTTGCGTGCCATCTCAGACGCTCAAAGATGATAAGATAAGATAGGACCCCCATCGAAAAAGCAATACCCCCTTAACAACCGTGGATTCATTTGTAACCGATGAGTGACTCAGACCAGCCAGAAAAAATTTTAAGCATTGTTGGAATGTTGAGGGGAATTTTAACCTTTTTACCAAATCATCGGTCACGTCATCTAAAAAGACGTGTATTCCAATATGCGTGCTCGATTATGGCTCCATATACACCTCTAACAAACACATACGAAAAGTGCGTAAGCGAGCAGATTGTGCCTGACATAAAAGAGCTATGCATGATTATTTCAGCAGGAGACGGAATATATCATTCACCCAAACAGTGCCATCCACCATAGAAAGTAATGTACACGATAGATAATTATTGATACAGGCAGTATGATAGCGATAACAGGAATCTGTTACTTAAAGCTATGAATATAATATCTAAGATAATGTATTTTTCTAGTCTAATTATACAGATGTCACTGTTACTCAACACCACGTATAAACCTACATTGATAGATTACTCAGAAAAAATAAAGTGGCATTGTTTATTTTTTTTACTTACCATCACAACAAACGCGGGTGAAGAAACCATTATTGCTCCGATCCATGTTATCACTAAGGCTATTTTCGTGTATTTTCTGGTACAGATCATTTTTGATGTCAATGGGTGCGCTATGGCAAAGTATCTGGAAAAAGAAATACAAAAAATGAAGCACCTTGTACAGTTTTGGTATGAAAGCAGTAGTTCCGTTGTCACCCTAAACCCTACACAGGTGTATAAAAAGGACAGGTAGGCAATTTTTTTGACCAATCGTACTTAGTCTCAGAAACTGGAATTTTTTAGCTGAGCTAATCAATAATAGTGTTCACAGCTCACTGTCAAAATTTGAGCCTTTAAATCCATGTGTGTCCTGAATTATCCAAGATCGAATGTTAAAAAGACGACTCGTCAATTTAAGATACTTTGTGATATATAGAAAGGATATATATAGGAACAGTGAGTAAAATTCTTATTTATTTGTAAGGAATTGTGAGATTTTCGTACATTTCAAGTACGATCATTTTTCAATAAGATCTTCTTTGGTATCAGATGTCAAAACTAGGTTCATCCTCCGAAATTATCCAGATTAAAATTTTAGTTACAAATTCCGTGTGACCATCTTCACAATCTCAACATATTAGTTAAAATAGTGGTTATTACAGTCAAGGTAAGAGAAGAAGTTCGTAATAGCTCGACATTGTGAAGATGGTGTGTGACGCGTAACACCATTCTAGTTAATATTTAGAATAAATTCTTGTAGTTAATAGGTTGGCAATTAATTTTAGTTTCATAAATATTTATGGTTCAGTAACAAGTTACATTACATTGTCATCTCGTGGGTGGCTTTTACACTTGCTAATTATGTTTCTACCAATATCCGATTAAGTATGTTTCTCCCATAGGAACGCCTAAATTTGTTCTTATTAACACCGCCTTTCTTACGGAGATTCATTATTTTGTTACCATGTGCACCTCAATATTTTCAACGTTAATACGACGCATATAAGAGTTCAGCCATTCGTCTCGTGTGCCTTTTGTTTCAGCAGTATAGTTCGCCCAACTGAAAAGGTCATGTGACTTTTCACGTGACTGCTTGTACTTCAAAATGGCAATTCCATTGAAATTTGAGTTTATTAACTAGAACAATTTATGACAACAATATTTTTGGATACTCGTCATTAATTAAATGGTTGTAGGAATTCTGGAACTGCGTATTCAAAACAGTAGTACTTAGAAGTAGCGGCACCAGCCTCCAAAGATGGGGCAAACAGGATCATTAGGGTGGCTGAATTCAAAATGCAGCAACTCTGTGGAGGCGTCATAGTCGCAAGCCTCTCATGGAACGCCTGAGAGGATTCTCCCAAGAAAATTTCCAATTGAATCGATTTGGTGCATTTTGACACATATTTTTAGGTAAAAACAATTTGGGTTCAAACCAATTGCGCCGCCACTAGCACTAGTTAGTAAAGAGAGAGTTAATCGCGATATGGATTCTCTTTCCCGATCATCCAAGACGGTCGAATGGGACTCGATTGGAATATTAGGATCTATGCGGTGTATATAAACGTTGAAAGGTATAAAATAAAGCAGATTTAAGATATTGTTGCATTTTATGTGCGTGCTTTGATAGATTAAAGTAATGAAGTTGTTTGATGTTGGTTTCCAGATTATCTAAATAGATCAAATAGATATCTAGGTTGCACGTGAGAAGAATATAGATTGTTAACCTAGAGGACTGCATTTCCACAATGTCAAGCTATTACGAACAGCGTCTTTTACCTTGACTGCTATGTTAATTATTCTTGTGTCACGGAAGTTTGTAAATGCGGCGATTTAATTGGATTGTTCGCTAGCGAATACGGAAAGAAAGTCGGTACACTAAAAGCCATTATGTTTAGATTGGTTTCTTCAAGAACTGTTTCCGATTCCGAACAGTCGTTATCAAATCACTGAATTCCGTGATACAAGAATAGTGGCTATTGCAGTCAAGGTGTATAAGACAAAGTTCGATCGATTCTCACGGATGCAGGATGGAAGTAACACATTTACATGTAGTAAATCAAATATTTAGTTCTTGATGAATGAAGCGAAATCCCGGTCATAACCGTTTGATAATTTGGAATCTAAACAAGAGTAGGCTAATTTCTTTATGCAGCGGTACAGTATCACCAATGGCTACTTCTTCATCACACAATTAAGATGAGAAGTCAGAATCAATGATCAAGATTAATGTGCTCAACTTCGATCAAGAAAATTCTTGAAGTAATCGTTAGATCGTGTGAAACCTAAACAAACTTATATTTGAAGTTGAATCAAATTAAGACTGTTAGACTGGTGGTGATTATGATGGATAGCAAATCAAGCACGTCTCAATGCTTTATTGTGGGATGCATCTTCCGAGTCATAATTTACTTCACGCTCAGCATTAGGTCATATTGACCAAGAATCGAAGCACTTAGATATAGTCCTCTGATACTGGATTGTCCAAAAAAAAATCTCGTTCGTGTACAATGGCAGTGGCTATATACCACGGCGCGATAAATAGCCATAAGTACCCTTACAGCTATTTACCACGCGTGATAAATACACTTAGTCATGATTTGATATTCTTTTGAGGAGAATCTGATTTTAAACGATAAAAATATTCAAGATAACGATTTTGCTTGGTATTTTGTCAATGCCTCTACAATTATTATTTTTTAAAAAAAGTAAGGAACATCGGAGGAAGAGCTCTATTAACATTCCGACCGACCAATAACTGTCAGAGCCAAATTAGGTAGGTTCAAGTATGTACCATATATACCGTAGATACCTCTTTATGGAACATCAATCACTGGTTAAAGTTTGATGCCACGTTTCTCCCGTTGCCCCGTACTGCTCCATAAAGCCGGTCGTGTCGATATAGCGGACTTACAATATTACTAAATGCCATTTAAAGACTTTCAGGTATAATTTGGGCCAATTTTGCTTTAGCGTTTCAGAAATATTTTTTTCGATTACCAATGACGATGTATAATGACTTCATCTTATGTTATTGTGTGTATCGCACAGTTTTTCTCGATAAATAGGAGAGGTTGTAGCAGCAAAGGGTGTTTCCGGAAGAAAAAAATGTTAGCTTAAACGATTAGAAATTGAATCGTTTGCCTTTATCTTGACAAAATTACGTAAAACCTCACTTCATTTCATTTATTTCAAAATGAAAGCAAATCTATTAAAAATGATTGAGCAGGTTTGTGCTGCTTTAAAAACGTTTAATAAATTTTTGCTTATTAATTCCATGTATCACGAAACGAACTGTCGCCAACGCCTACACAACATGTTATGAACCGAACATAGAAACATTATTATAGTCCGTGAAAATCAATGAGCCAGATATAGCATTTTTGTCTCAATAAACTGCAATACGCTCTTAAACGTATATTTAACAAATCCAAAAATTTAAAACACAGGACATTCTAAATATCCCTTAGTATACCAGGTTTCATCAAAATCCAATTACATGTATATCTATTGTTAGGTTAGGTGTTTTGTTTACAGGAGCGTATCTAGGGGGAAAAAATTCTCCAAGGCAGGTCGTAAATTTAAACGTCCGTGTCGGTGGAAACAGGAGCAATGTATGTCCACATTAGAAGGTTGGCGTATAAAATAACTGCAGGGTTAATCCATCATAAGATAATGAACTGGATATTAATAAACTGACAGTGATACATCATGGTCATTTTAAATATTACCAATAAACGAATCGTGGGCTCTGGGTTAAGCTGACATTTGAGATAATATAGAGATTGTAAAGAGCTTTTCTAAAATAAATTACGTGTATCGGAGACACTGATAGCATCAATGTGTACCATTCCCATTTCTATCTGTAGTATACCTGCAAGTTCACTAAAACTTGGTGTCTTTTCTCGAGACACTACCGCATACATAAATGAAATCTATAGAAATAGGTGAAGAAATTCCTAGTTTGAAGTATTTTTGAAGGAATTATGCGATTATCCTGCATTTCTAGTATTTCTGAAGACTTTCTAAATATTTTCAAGATTCAAATCAACCCCCCAAAATGACCTTTAAATATGCCTCGCCAGATGGAAATCTAAAAATGCAAACTCGTGCCTGTGGCTCTTTCTGAATTGCATGGACATGTTGATCTGGATCTGAAATTGAGCTCGAATAGCTTGTAAATTAACAATTTAAACTATAGTATCCCTTTAAAGCAATAGTATTTGTGGCCATAGGTCCAGATTTCAAACGTCTACGAGTTACTAATAAAACTGTAACAAGATGAAGTTTATGTGAGGTTGGTAATAATATCTATTTCTATAATATATGTCTCTATGGAACATGATGTCAGACGGGATCATAATGTCTCAAAATCGACGAACATGGATTGTTAATTCTTTTATGGCCAAAAAAGCCTCAATCGAATGATTCCTCTTCAATGACTCCAATCGCCTACTGATTTAATAAAATAAATGAGAAAAAAACGACTCCAGATTCTTTGGTTAAGTTCTTATCAATTAGCTAATTTCTCACATTCAGATCAAACGAATAAATTTTTTATATACGATTAAATAATAGGAAAGACATTTCTGGAACGTCGATATACGCTCACACAAAATTGAAATTTGTCCACCAAAATATAGAAACGACATTTTAAGCAAAGTTTTCGAACACTTATTATGGTAAAATCAAGCCGAAATGTAAATGACGCTACACAATGGCGATAACAGCAAAAATCTTTATATTGCGTATGAACCATGATGTGTATCGAAAATTGGTTAAGACAGGTGTTTACTGTAAAAATATAAATGATGATTCAGATGCTTTAGTAATGTTTGACATAAAACACCACATCAATAGGCCTACATTTCCTTTCTAACAACATGCGTTCTCTTGCAAAATTAATGAAGAAAATGTACCGCTTGGATGAATTTTTACATTTGTATTCAATATATATTAATTAATTGAAGAGATCAGGAGAAAGTCGATGGGATAGCTCGATTGAACTTGAACAAATATTGACATTTTAACACTGCGGTGATTTTCCTTCAGTAGGCAGACCATAAACCATATCACTAAAGTAATTAATAATAGATGTAGTTAATAATGTGTGAATAACATCAAACATAGACCCGAAGTCTTCACAATTAGTCGAAATCGCCAGCCGGATTGATTTTAGTCTTGAATATATGTAAATAGTTTTCAGAAGTACTAGAAATGTATGAAAATCACATAATCACTTTAAAAATACTTCAAACTAGGAATTTTACTCACTATTTCTATATATCACAGAGTAACTTAAATTGACGAGTCGTCATTTGAACATTCAAATGCATATAATTCTGAACAGACATGGCGGCTCAAATTTCGATTGTGAGCTGTAACACCTATTACCGATTAGCTCAGTTAAAAAAAATTCCAGTTTTTAAGATTAAAGTATAATTGCTTAAAAAAAATGGCCTACCTGTCCCTTTAAGGGTCCTAAAGAAAAGGTGTCCTATACTGATTTTGAATCAACAATCAAGCTTTTATCTTGCATGGAATATGTAGTATTACACTATTAGTGCCATTTGTATCATAAATTAAATGGATATCTTTGAAAGTTCCTTAAAAGTCCAAGTATTTTCTACATAATATATATTTAATATACATAGAATTATATAGTTAATAACTGAATAGCACATTGGTTTATTTGCATAGCAGTCGAATAATCAGTCACATTTTTTTCAACTTGTCAAAATTGCAATTTTTAAGTTGCAAAAGTCAGTCACAATCTACAGGAGTCGGTCACAATTTCATTTGTGACTGACTTGGGGGTCTATTCAAACAACAGTAGCTCAACTCTGCTCAAAAGAGCAATTGGATACACATCGATCTCTGGAGACTCAACTGCATGTCAATCAATGCCACATCTCCTGACTGCTTCCTGAGCTCTATTGATTGACAAGTGTCAGCTATCTAGAAGCTTAAAAACAGTGCCCCTATGTTAACGACTACATCTACACTGAAAACGTACCAAGTCTGTACGTCTATTTGGATTATTGATACCACAGTCATGTATTATGAAAGGAGAAAATGTTCATCGACAGTGGTACCAGTTCGTCTAATCTACTTCAAATATCAACTTCAAATGAATTTTACAAACGCAAAGAACAGCACACAAACCTTTCGAACGTTTTGACCTGCATCGTGATCATTGGCTTAAAATCTCAACCAACCATTTGTACCAACTGGAAGTGAATTAGGGCGCGAAAATTGTGGATTATTAATTTTATACAGGTGAGCGAAACTATTGAATTTGGTGCTTGAAATTCATAACTTTAGTAATGCCAGTTTTCGCGCTATATTTAAATTTTGCTTGATCGATTGGTATTTTAAACCAACACCAAAGAACAATAAGAATCGAATCCCCAACTCCAAGGAGTCCCCACTACGAAATGACTTCCATTGAATTACATGAATATGTGGGCGTAAAATGTAACTTTTCTTTTCCTATAATAGAAGATTGAACATTCTTGTTTCCATTTCAAATCTTATGGCTCGTGAAATTAAGATTTAACACCACATTTGTGTCTTTCATGTTACTTCAGGTGTAATTAAATCACCGTAGATATCATGTAGATGCATTTCAAGAGCATTGAAGAACAATAACTGTCTTTCACGCTTACATATCTCTATTAATTAATGCCAAAGTATATAATAAGCCCAATTTAAATCCACATTAACTTTAGCCCGAACAACTCTTGGAATTGCATGTATATTATATGTTGCAAGATTATGTTGAAAGTTTGGTAGATTACAGCAATAGAATCGCCGGGAATGGAATCAAACGGACTAACGTGAAAGTTCTGCTAACGCTCTGCAACATAACACGATAAGCAATTGTAGCCATTATTTAGCCGAACTAGGTCCAGATTGATCACGTGATTCTGGTAGTTCAAACGTCAGAGGCTGGTGGGTCAGAACCATAAGCATTTGTGAAAAATATGAAAGTTCTGCTAGTGCTCTGCAACATAACACGATAAGTAATGGTAGCCATTATCTAGCGGAACTATGTCCAGATTGCCACGTGATCAAGTGATTCTGGTAGTTCAAACGTCAAAGGCTGGTCGTTCAGGACCACAAGCGTTTGTGAAGTCAAAAGTAAGAAAAACGTCGTATGAAAAGGATCACTGGTAAACCGATATTCAGAAAATCATAAGATAACATTAAATGCAAAAATAAGTGTCAGAATTATTCCATGAAGACTCTTGAGATAGGTATGGATTATATTCAAATCGCAATGTTACTAAAAATAATTGTCAAACACTGAAAGTTAAGAGTCTTGCCCGGGGAGATGCAACGAAATTCACCATTCATTACTGAGACAGATTGAGCTTTACGGAAACTGCTTACGATTGCCGAATGGGTTGGCATTTAAGTAATTGGCAACAATTTTGATGCTTTTCCGTATTTAAGCCTTTTGAATCCTCTTGCGTATTCTACTTTTTATGGGGCTCAAAGCCTTTTTTAATGATGTAAAATAAAATGGACTTACCTTTCTGAGCTGGTGAGAATCAGATTAAAGATGGTGGCTGTAGCTGACATCATCTCAACAAATCCAGACAATTTACATAAAAAATTACTTAATTCCCAATGTCCAATAAAATATCGTCCAACTTCTGCTGGAACACAAACTAATAAAAATAAAACATCAGCCCAGGCCATACTTAATAAACAAGGAAAAGTTACACATTTAGCACCATGTCCACAACACATGACTGCAATGACCACAAAATTACCAAATAATCCCAAAACAAACGTAATTCCATACACTACAACCATGGGTATAAAATGAGGTTCTCGAACCCAAGGTTTACGAAGTTGTTCTAAATCCCCATAATAAAAATAAGCATAAGTAAAATTATATTTTTGTTGAAGTAATAACGTTTGATTATCCATCATATCCATAATTATTTTGAATCTATGAGCCTTCTTCTATACTGTCAAATCTGGAATATCGGTGTATACAATGGTAACACAATGAATCAATTCTAAGACTTCGTGTATCCAATTCCGACGATCCTGTGTTGAAAGATTATAATTCAAGTCCTTCTGAAATGATATCCCGAAGTTAAAGCCTTATTTTAATTTGATTGGTTTATTACTTGCAGATTATCGCTGATCTCAAATTACGCATCAAACTGCAAATAGTGTCTCTGTTTTTGTTGAATCAAACACACGTGTTTATTTAGATAACTCTAGATGATTCCATCGATTCACCAATATCAGCATTCGAAACTGCTAAAATATTGACTGGGCACCAAGAACACCTTTCAATTGTTTCGTCTGTCCGAATGTCACAGATACTGCGCAACCTTTTTGCAATTTCACTATAAGTAGCATTAATTCAAACGTCAAAATTTCACAATATTTTCTCCAATATTTTCTGTGCAGCAGAATCACGTTTAAATAAGTTGGTTAGCAAACTCTGTAATGTTACTGTTAACTAAAAGTTATGATTTACACATTGAAACAATTACGCAATCTAATTCACAGATTCGAGAATACGTGGCATTCCAGGAAATTTAAAAAGGTTTTACCAATATTTTCTGTGCAGTAGGCCTATAATCACTTCTAAAAAATCTGAATTGTGACTGTTATTGCTTACAAAATGAAACAATTACGCAGCCTAATGCACAGATTTGAGAATACGTATAGCATTCAAACGTCAAAATTGAACAATACGTTTCAATAACTTAACACCAGCCTGTCGCTGAACAAACATAACAATAACATAGTGTTATTGGCCTTTTATCCCAGTGACAGGCATTGGATAATCAAATCCAGTCGTTATATATCTGTCAGTTACCAAATGGCACAGAAACCATATAAATTATATTCCGGTTTGAAAAAATATCAGAGATTCTTGTTATTAGATGTCACCAGTTTTATGATTCCGTCTATACTGTTTCCATTGACATATATTCGGTTTCCCTGAAATAAAAAAAAGGAATTCAATCAAAGAGAAAACTGTCAATCATTTTGTTTAAAATACACTTAGCATTTAAAATAAGTTAACTTTACAGAGGCAATGAATTTTCCACACATTCATTTAACATAAGCGATTAATAAACTTCATCCCTGTAAAGATCATAAAAACATAGCAATTGGGCAGATTTAAAAAAGGCAGTTCCCTTTAAATATAACGCTAGATAACCGTCAATCGAATTTACCAGTTTTGTTGATTTTTGCAAAGCATTGATTTCTACTATAGATTAGGCATAGAATAACGGGAGATCTGAGATTTTTCTGCCATTGAACACAAATCGGGTTGTTACTTCATTTTAAAGTCTTGCAGCGAATATAATCCATATATGATGAACATAACGTCAAATACATCTGATATAACTTATAATAACTATATTAATTGATGTATAATTTTTTACTGTCCAATGGTCAAAATGGTGTCAACATATTCCATTCATTGTAACTATATAAAAGTATAGCATATATATAACCCACACCGCACTGTCACTATAAATTTCTGTAAAACTATTCTGTTTCTAGTACCACAATCCTACTAAAAACAAGTTGTGCTAAATGATTTGCGTATCATACTTTCTGTGTTCTTTAACTAATATACATCTCAGCAATAGAGTGATATCGCCTCTAAAACCATAGTTTTCTTATTCTTGCCTAGGACAAGAACTTCGATCGGCATTAGTATCTTAATCCACCCACCCTATCACGAACAGAACTATATGTCATAATACAGATCTATATATAACAGCTGCTCTTGTCGACAATCTCCGGGATGTCCAACTGTCAGTAGAACTCAGTAAGAAACACTTACAACATCTACCGATATTAGTGAACAGTTTGGAAGACTGATTGGTATTTAAAGCCAATCGTGCAACAAAAAATGAAACAAGAAGAAAAAAAAAAATCTGAAATTGGTAAGGCTTATATTGAGGATTTTAGATACATGGAATTGTAAAGAATAATCGGCGACTAGGCCTATTTTAGATAAGTTTAATACAGGAAAATGGGGTACTTATCTATTTTTTTGTTACATTTTAATAAACTTTTGTCGTTTCTTCATGTTGACATTGCAGATTATTATTTAAATTTTATAGTTTTCGGCAAACGGCTTACGCTGGTAAAGCTGTACGGTTTTATATCTATAAAGATAGCAATACGGATTCCCGCGAAGTTTTTTATACTTCCGGTTGGGTTGGGTTGGTTCGTTTGGTCGTACGTTAGTTTTTAACACTCGACAATCCGTGGCGCACTGTCGGTGTCCATAGTTGGCCTACATTGAAGTGAACAGGCCTTACAGAAAACGTAAATGCACAAATGATTTTCCAACATGTCTTTTATACAGTCTAACTACTATATGTTCGACACGTATCCTACACATCGATAAACTTTTTTTTTTTTTTTTTTTTGCATTAAATCAGATTCTTAAAAAAACATCTTGAGTAGCTTGTTATTTTCTTTGTAGCTAAATTTCATTATAATAAGCTCACTGCAGCTCCTTTAAAGACGTCATTATTTCCACTTGAAAAAATCTGTGAACTGATTAGCCCGTACCACCATAAAGGAATTCTTTCAACAAATTTTTTTATTGATTTAAAACTCATCTACAATAAACATTTTGAAACTTTTTTTGATATTTTTCTATTCATTTCATGCAAATATTTTTTTAATGCCGGATGTACCACTTAAACAAATTGCAAGGGCTTGGACTGCCTTGGAACTCTAAGAGAGCAATTGCAGAGAAAAGTACTCCAATTTAGATGGATGGAGGAACTTCATAGCTTGAATGTCTATGGCATTCTTAAATAAATACTCTGCTGCATTCTATATAATGAAATATAACGATAATTGCACCGTATAGTAAGTATGTGACAAAATAAATAACAAATAACTGTAAGAGGTTTTTTTAAAGGGAAACTGAAAACATGGATTTTTACAAATGGTTACACAGTATATTAATGAAGAAATTGTTTTTTCATGTTTTATTTTAGTCAATTATTATTAAGATCATACAAACGTATGCTATCATGTTCATTAAAAATCTATGCATGGGCTAACCAGGATATAGCACTCGCTGGTATCATTAATCGCGTTTTCAATGAAAATTAATGGGAGGAGCTAGGTTTAAACGTATTGTAAAGAAGTTTTATAATATTTTCCATGTGTATCGGGGACACTGATAGCATCAATTTGCACCATTCCAATTTTCAGTCAGACGTCTGCAATTCCTTAAAATTATTTACGTCATCAAACACTTAGTTTTAGTAAAATTGCAGTAATCACGGATGTCGGTTTGAGAATTAGAATGGTGCAAGTTTATGCTACCAGTTCCCCGATACACATGAAAAAGCTTATAAAACCTCTTGACAATCTCGACCAAGTCTCGACCAAGTAGACAATTTGCAACGTTACAAAATGTTGTATAACAGCAGGATAGTCCATCTGTTCCACATTTCTTGATCGATCGGGGTCTCTGACTATCTATTCCTAGCTATGAACGTATCAGCTGCGAAAATCCGATGAGATCCCGCAAATCTCCAGTCGACTTTACAGTTGCTCTCGGATTGACAATTCAAAACATTTTGACAAATCTAGCTTAAAAGTGCGATCAGTGGATCCATTTTTTACTGGAACATAAAAAACTGTAGAAAACAGAGCTTTTTATGTCGAATCCAGCGAATGAGTAAGAGTATCGCAGATTCCACAAGTTTCTAAACAGTCGTTGATATTGTGTTAGTCTGCCCTCAGCCTCATTGATTAGAGAATTGAGCAATGGTGATAATTAAACATAAACTGTAAGTAACGGATGCATACAATTATTGTACAAACCTTCGTGTAACCCCCCAAAAATCTCTCTAAATCTAGCTTACCTTAAATCAGTGTTAATCCAAGATTCAATTCAAGGTTAGGGTCGATATTTTCAAATCCTCAATTGAAACCGGCAATGTTACCGTCTACACTTTAGTATTGGGAATGTGGTTAAACAGCACTTCTTAAAGAACATTTTAATATTATTAGCATTATATCAGAGGCGTTAATTTCTCGACACATAAAGTGGTTGTGTGATGTGGGAATTGCTGCCAGGCAGTGATTTCAAAGTCTGAAAATTGTTGTTTTAAGGTTAATAATAATAATTTGAAATCGGTAGTGTAAACTCAATATTGATTGAATTCGCCAATGTATTTACTTATCAAATATTTTTCTATACATATACTATATTATATAGGCCTGGCAGATGTTTATTTTTATATTAAAAATAGTAATTGATATGGAATTTATTTTTATTGTTCAAGGGATTTAATACTTTTATCTGTTACCCAGATAACAAAATGGATAACAAATAATATTAGGAAAATCAGATAAGAAACGTAATGTATAGAGTAAATCAAAATACTTTAAAGCGACAGATCAGGCAGCAGTGGGGTTTCTATGAATTGGATTTTCATTGACGGGGAAGGGAGAGGGAGGTAACGAAGCACCTCAGGTCCGCTTTCGGATTTTAGAGATCTCCATGGTGAGTGGGGGGGGGGGGGGGTGGTTGGGACATTCTCCATCTAGAATGCCCCTCCCCTAAAATACGCCAATGGGGCGGAGCAAATATTTCAGTATATAAGCCTACCATGATAACAAATTTGAGCAAAGCCAAGCAAGTGCCTTTTCTGCTTTTCATACCTCCTGTAGAAAAGCCAATGAATGGTCGTAACAAATTTTTGTTCTATAATATCATGACATTCAATATACAGCCTTCTGTAATAATTCTATTATCTTTCCAGTATGCTAGTGTAAAAATCCAATAACAGCTC